AAGGGGCCACGGACGGATCCGGAGCCAGAAGACCAGACCCAGACCCACCTTTTGACAAGGGCATAATTAAAGCATAACAGCAGCAAAAACAACGGGGGGCGGGGCGGGGCCAGGACATGGACGGAGATGGAGATGTAGAGGGGGGCATAGGGCCTTCACCTTCTCCACCGCTCACATAAAACCCACCGTGAAACCCACGGACGTACGGGGTGAAAACAGGTTGTTACTTCCTTGCAAACAAGGTTCCGTTACCGTTATGTATACGGCCACATCTACATCTACATCTGCATATATATATATATATATATATTTATATGAATGTCGGTGTGTATGTGTTTGTGCACAGTTTCGGAAAAAATAATAGCACTGCAAATGAACATTTTATTATCTCACCATCGGGCCGGTCCTTCACTCATACCTAATGGTTTCGGAGGGCTGGGTAACATAAATAATTAAAAATGCTGGCTTAGGACCAACAGTTCGCAGAAACTTGGTAATTACCATTTATAGCCGAATATTAGATTTGGGAATTTATATTCTAAGGGAAATAATATTTATTACTTGAATTTATAGGGGTGTTTTTTGGGGGGTTTTTTATTATGTTGTTATTAAATTATATTACTCCTGAAATTTTCTAGTATTCTAAAGGTTCTCAATGCTAATAAATGTATTATTATAATGTTTAGTGTTAAGATATTCTAGATATATTAGATTTGGGAATTTATATTCTAAGGAATATTATACTTATTACTTGAATTTAAAGGTGTTTTTTTTTAAGGTTTTATTAAGTTGTTATAAAATTATATTACTCTTGGTTTTTTCTAGATATTCTATGGGTTTTACATACTAACTGGAGATTTATAATATAATTTTCAGTATGTACATAGGTGTTTAGATTTAATATGATTTAAGTATATGTATTTTATTCATTTACAATCTAATTTCACGTATCTAGTTAAAAATGAGGAAAATATTGTGTTATTCTGCTGATTAAGACCAATGTAATGTGAGAATGAAAGAAATTATTGTTTCATTGATATCTTACCAATATTTGACTCTAAAAATGATAAAAGTTTCTAACCAGATGCTTTAAAATAATGAATTTAAGATTCTGAAAACTGAAGCTATTTTGATGCCATTAATTTTAATTAAAAATTCATGTAAGTCTCTAATTAAGAAATGCTTATTCCTGTTTTAAAATATTAAAACTTCCTGAGATCAAGTTCTCATAGTTTAATTTCTATTCAACTGACCTCACCTGTCCTGTACGAATGTCTGTGCCCGCTGTGAGCTTGGGGTATAAAAGAAAGCACGTTATTGCCAATTTAACTTACATTGTGCATGTGTCTTTAAACAAAGATTTATGTACCCACTTGCATGCTATCCAGAAACCGGAGAAACCGGAGAAACGAAGCAGCCAGAAACCTCGAAAAATCCTGAGCCCAGGACCCAGGACGAGGGCGAGTTTTTCATAGGGAGTTTTTTGGGGTCAGGTGTGCGGGCAATAACTCGCTATAGATGGGTACGTGTTGTTGGGAGAGCGGGGCACCCACTTAAATCAGCATAATGATATGCACTTATTGTTGTGGCAAATTTGTTGCGGAAGTGCTGTGCGAAAACCGCACAGGATGGGGGGCCCAGCCAGAAATGGCCAAGATCCTTTTTGGTGCTGAGGAGGTGAGCTCACCACAGAGGCAGTAGGTATTTCTTCAGTCTCACCTCATCCCGGCGGCCGCATGTCGATGTCGATTTCTTCATTTGCCTAATACGACTCGACGCCATCATTAATCTAAAATATGGCACACACACACGAAGCCACACGCAAAGGCTGGGGCAGGACATGGCAAGGAAAGGAAAGGCAAGGCAAGGCGTGCATGTAATTATGTTGAGGGGGGAAGGATGTGTGTGTGGGGGGGTGAGAATAAGGGGGCTGTTTCCCACCACAGAGACACACATTTGCGTAAGCCTTGTTAATCGTGACAAAAGCTTATTGCGGGTTATTTGGACTACTTGTTTCGCATCCGGCGTTGGCACAACGAAAATCAACATTGCCACATACCAGTTTATATGTATAAACGCGAACATATATACGCCATACAGGACATATGTCTGTGGCTCTGTGCCACTGTGCCTCTGTGTCTGTGCGCACAGAGAAACAAAAACAAAGTATTTCGTACGCAAAGCGGTTACACGCAGTCAGGATTTGATTTCATGTCCGTATGATTAAGGATTTTATGTCGGCCCAGCATTTTGCTCCAAATAAAAGGCTTACGCATTTTGTAAAGTGGTTTGTAGCATTATGCTCATTATACGAAATTCGGCTTTGTGTCATTCGGCCAGGACAAGCAACAAAAACAACATGAAAATAAATAATAATAATAATAATAATGATAATGCTGTGAAAAGAAAATACTCATTGAAATTGTTGAATTTTTATATATTTTACAGCTGTGAAAAGGATGAAGATTATTTAAAGCTTCTTTCCACAATCCTTTACAACTTCAAAGGCTTTATGTAATAGTTTCGATTTAACGTACTTAAATCGATTGGGAAATGTTTCGAAGTCTTTGATGCTTTTACACGATTTTAAATCGATTATTATCGGTGCTTTTCAGCTTTAAACTTTTACTAAAAGAAACCCAAAAACATGAGAATTATAACATTATTTCACCTGGTGTAAATTGCTTTCTTTTTAAATAGATTTCCAACTTTCTAATAGTTTCTTTATTTACTGATAGTATCTGATAATCTATAAAATAAGCATATGTTAACTATAATAATATAATAAGTTTTTGTATTTTAGTAAAGTATATTTAATATACAAAATAATCCATTAATAAATGAAATAAATAAAATTGTAATATAATATTGAATTCTATTTAAATTTAGTTTTACAAATTCTTGTTTTAGTATAGATTTATAGCAAAGACACGCTCAAATACTCCTAGTAAAGCACTTTTTAAAATTTATTCTTTTGAATTCTAATATTTTTTCCCCCATTTTATATATATACTTCCCTTTTCTTTCCAATTTTTCTCTCAGTGCCGAGTTATGTGTGCGTATTGGCCTGTCGCTTGGGCCTGTCATCTAAGAGGGAGGGGGTAAGCCGGGGGAGCGAAGCTCGCGTCACTTGCACACATAATAAACATTTTAAACATTATTCTCGTGTTAAGCAGCTTCTTGGATTGCTGTTGTTGTTGTTGTTGCCATTGGAGCTGCTGCTGCTGCTGCTGCTTGTGTTTCTGCCGCTGCTGCTGCTGCTGTTCGTTTTGGTAAAATTTACGGGTTTCAACGAATAATGGTGCATGTGGGAAATGAACGTTTTGTGTTCGCTTTTGCCTGTCATCGCAGCCACGCAGCAGAATCCACGCAGCCTGCAAACACTCGCACATTCCAAAACATTCGCCACTTTATCAGCATTTTACTTTAGCCGTTATTACCAGAGATCCACTCACAGTACATTAGCACACCAAACCACCCACCAAACCCACCCACCGACGCATAAGGAGCACACCCACTCAGACTTACACTCGCACACACACTACTACACTGCCAATGTGCTCTCACGCATGTGCGCCTCAACGAGGTTGCGACTCTCTAAGGAAATTAAAAAACAACTAAAACAAATTAACAATATAATGACAAAAGTCTTATGTGAAATGTGGTTGAGGAGCTGTGGGTGTGTGGCTGCAGAGCCCAAAAGGTGAGGAAAACCCGGTGGAAAGGGAGGAAAAACAAGCCTAAAAGGAAGTGAATAAAGAAACAGGAACTCACACAGACACAGGAAGAAAATTATTAATTGTAACTTCCTTTTTATATTTATTTATCATATTTGATTTGATAACTAACATTATGTGATTTCAAGTCATTTCCGTACATCCTCATTATTTAAATAACAAATAAGTGTGTCAAATATTTCAAATAGTAATTTATATTAACAGCATAGCATATTTTAAGCAATATATCAACTCAAATTATCCACTTATTAGCACCATTTTGGTTTATTCCTTACAATTTCATTATTTCTAGTTAAGTAATTCTTTGGTGCATACAAATATTTTGAATTTTTCATTAATCTTTGAAGGGAAAGAGAAAACTATACTAATTTATTGGTCTTTTAATTAGCAAGAACTTTCAACATTTCCCTATTAAAACCCTGATAGAAAATCTAAGTGAATAATATATTGAATGAGATTATTATTTATCCTTCACGCTGTAACTTATATATCCCATTCTACTTCTAAAAATCAGCCCAATATCCCAGGCAATATTCTTACTGTGTAGTCAAGGTCTTCGAAGGACCTGGATTAGGTCTCGCTGCTAAATGGCAAATCAAGCATTTGCACAAAATTGAATTACCTACCCGGGCATCTGAGTTTGCAGGCCCATTACCAGTAACCCAAAGCCACCACCACCATCGCCCCTGTCACCGCACCAGAAACACAGCCATTCCCACACGGGCTAGCTGCTCCGCCCCACGTTAAGTATACGCCATGGATTCGGGGCAATTGGCACTTTTGCAATGGCAACGGGAGAATGGTAAGCAAGAGCAATGCTTTTAATGATGATCGATTTGGGTAAACAATGAAATTTCCGCATTCAAATTTTATTGCCAGCAATCAGCGAGGCTTCCTGCACATACACACACACAGGCAGAGAGAGTGATAAACGCATATGCTAGATGGGATATTGCGCTTTAATATTAATATATGGCGCACCGCCTGTTTGCTGTTTGTCAGCTAAATTTGCTGGGAAATTGAATGATGCGTGTTGTGAGTGTGAAATTAGCATATAACATGTACATTATCGCGCTGGTGAAGTGACAGCAGACAAAGCAAACACGACATCAACCAGTTTTCAATAATGAAATGTGTGTAACGACCTTTTAGGTGGGAAATTTGAATTTTCAGAGTGTGACCAAGCGTTGTTCTCAGCTAACAGACGGGCAACACTGGCAAGTTGGCAACGCAGTAACAGGGCTGCCACACCGCATGCGCTTACCCAGCTGGCAACTCACTGCTGTATTTACTAACAAATTACATGTTTTTTTATTTGTATGCCGTTCTTGCCGATCGATTAGACCGTAAGTAGCCGCGTGTGCGTTGATTAAGTGGACAATTGCTAATTGCCGACCGCTAAACGGAGGTGCTTAGCGGCAGAAGCAACAACAATAACAGGAACGAAGAACAGCTGGCGCGCGCACACGGAGACACATTCCAATGCACTTTCTCTGCGACGAAGAAAACCCGTCGAGCGGCTTATTTGACATCCATTTCGATATCAATACGGCGGCAATAGAGAGAAATAGCGAGAAATACAGAGAAATAGAGGCCACCGCTCGCTCGCTGGTTGGGGCACCTGTAGAGCGACAACAACAAAAAGTGGATTGCCATCATCATCATCACCATCGTTGTCTTGGCCGTTTTTATTGGGCATTATAGCCAGCACAGAACAAGCCACAACAGTCACAATCGGCCCGCTCTGGCGTTCGTTCGTCTTAGAACGCTTAGGAATTCGCTATTTGCATATTTTCGCAAGATATATGCAGTGTCTTAGAGCTGGGCGTGGAGCATGTTTATCGCCCTGAGTCACTCTACCAGCTAAAAAGTGAGTATTTCACGCATTTGTGGCCCAAATTTTCACTGATTTCGCTTTCCAGGATATGGCTTCGATTGTGGAGAAAGTGCGTCGCGTTTTGGATGCCAAGGATCTGGGTGACATTACCTCGGAGCTGTGTGACTTCTCTCTGAAAGAACAGAACGCCACCGCCGAGGCCCAGGGCGTGCAGCCCTCCTCCACCTCTGATTTTGTACCCGTTCTTGGCCAGACGGTCACCTACATTGTGGCCAGTGTGCTGATCAACGAGCACGACGAGCTGCTCATGATCGAGGAGGCCAAGCAGAGCTGTGCAGGTAAGCTGGGAGGAAGACTAGGCTTAGAGCTCACCCTAACGTTGCACTCCGTTGACCAGGCAAGTGGTACTTACCCGCCGGCCGTATGGAGCGCGGCGAGTCCATCACAGAGGCAGCCGCCCGGGAGGTTTTCGAGGAGACCGGCCTAAATGCCGAGCTGAACACTCTGCTGGCCGTTGAGGCGGCTGGGGGTTCTTGGTTTCGCTTCGTGCTCACCGGACGCATTACTGGTGGGCGGCTTAAGACGCCGGCGGATGCCGATGCCGAGTCCATACAAGCGCGCTGGGTGCGCAGTCCCAAAGATGTACCGCTCCGAGCCAACGACATACTCAACATCATTGAGATTGGCCGCGCTTATCATCGAGGCCAAAAGATCCCCAGTAGCCCCACGGCACTCTGGCACGGCAACATACTGCCCACTCGCTTTTCCCACAAGCGGAACTATCTGCGCGTGCTGGCCGTGGCCCGGAAGCGAGCCCACAACTCCCTCAACATTCTGGTGAGCGAGAAGAATGTCCATCACTTCCCCACTGTGGAACTGCATCCGAGTCGCAGCATACACTCCACGCTGCGCAAGTTTATGATTGAGATTTTTGGCGCCGAGCTGCCCCAGCACCGACCGCATGGCCTGCTGAGTGTGGAGCACTCGGCTTCGGAGGCGGAGAACACGGATGGGATTTGCTTGAATCTTCTGGTGGCTTTCCGGCCGCCGCTCGAGGAGATCTCGCTAATTGGCAAATGTATTTGGCAGGAGCTGGGAGCACCGCTCGATGAGCAGTTGGGACGCATTGTCAGCAGCAAGAATGCCTCCATTCCGCTCAACGTGATACGCTGAGGGCCTTACTCTTAAAGCTAGAATAATCTGTCCTTAGCTATGGTGCAAGCAATCTATCCGTTACAAGTTGCAATTAAAAATAACCCCCCAAGGTGATGTCTTTAAGATGTCCCTCACAATTTTTAAGAAGTTCTGTTTCTGTTTTTCCTTGTCTAAACTATCCCAACTAACAAAACTCTTATAATTTCCTGGTGCAAGACTAAATGTAGGGTTTGCTAGACTTAGACTAGTTTACAGACTTAGTTTAATCTATCTTTATCTTTAGATAGTTCCAAAAGACTTAAGCTTGTGGCTTTTAAACAAAAGTTAGCTTAAAAAATTAACAGTACCAATTTAGATGTTTGCCTTTATAATTACATTGCATACAAGTTAATAGAATTAAATATTTCCGTTTCAATAAAATGTATCAGAAACTAAAATACTCAAATAACATCCCAATATTCTCCCAAATCACCCAAGGCTTTCGATTCCAAACAGTCATCTCAGATTTTATTCATTATTTAAAACAAGCTGTATAATGTATAATTTCCATAGCCACATACGCATATTGGGTATAAAGATATTTAAAATGCTTTCTTGGAATATGTTCGAACACTAGAAACTATTGCAACAGCCGACTAGGTCAATGGGATCAGATAGAAATGCACACATAGGGATTACGCAGGATCGCGGGGTTAGTGCCACACCTTGCTGAAGAGGTCCATGAACGAGTCGTAGATCATGAATGTAATGGCCACATCCAGGCACACGCGTCCCAGACGCGGCACTGTGCCCTTGTAGAAAGCGGCTGGTCCCTCATTCTTGAGGATCATCACCGCACAGTGGGCTGTGTTTTTGTATTTGGAGGCCTCGAGTCCCTGCATCCTAGTCTTGACCACATCCAGAGGCGTGTTGCCGAACACAGAAGCAGCTCCGGCAATGGCACCAAACGCACCCACCAGCAACTTGGGCACCGGCTTGTTCGGATCATCACCCTTGTAAAGATCCTTTAGTGATTCCAAGACGAAGAAGCGGATGGCTTGGTTGGAGCCCTGCTTCAGAATGGTGGGCGTCAGGCCCTTGTAGATGCCAGTGATGCCCTCCGACTTAACGATCTGTCCCACTCCATGCACGAATCCCTTGAATTTGGGATTGGCACTGCGCTGGTCGTTAATAAACTTCACCTTGATGGTCTCCATGGGAGTGACGGCCACAATTGCTTCGCAAACACCGGCACCCAGACCGCAGAGCAGCTTGCCGGAGTTACTCAGTTGTCCCCTGGAGTCCACAGAATGCGTTTTCAGGAACTCAAAGGCGCCAAATCTGATGAATGGAGCAAATTGTTATAAACATTTATGGAATTGGTTAGAATCTCTACTCACCTCGCCGCCGACTTGGGAATGCTGCCGTAGAGGAGCACACTGAGACCTCGGTAGAGTCCGAAGAATCCACGCTGCTGCACCGTCTTCTTCACGCAGTCAAAGATGCCATTGTACTTCTTATTCGCTCCCTTCTCGTCCAGCTGCAGGTGTGTCTTGACGTACTCGGTGGGATATGTGATGCAGATCTCGATGCCTCCGGTTATCCCGCCGGCCACAATACCCTTGAGACCCTTTTGTCCGCCAGCGGGTGCGGCAGCTCCGTTCTCCGTCATCCAGGGGCGACGACGGTACGGGCTGACGAGGGCGGCGATGCTTGAGCGTTCCATGCTGACTAGGCGGAAGGAAGGTGGGAGTTTAGCTGGGAGACAAGGAAAAGATTGGAGAGGGAACGATCAGTATTTGGTATTCTGGTTTCTTCGTGGATTCCAGCTGATTTCTGTCCACTAGAGAGTTTATTTTTAGACTATTGTTGGGGGATCATCGAAAATATAGTTACATATTTTCGTGTGGGTGCAATCAATAGTCTTGCACTGAAAGAAAATATTAGTTGAATATGTATAAAGCAAAAGAATTCTAGTATTCAAGGATAAATGATTATTTCTAAGGAAACAAAGGGGTGTAGTTCAAATTAATGATCTTAAAATGAATAGGAAGATATTAAGAATTGTTATCTTTATTAAATACATAAAATGACACATTTATGTATATGAACTTTGGAAGAATATCTTGAAAGTGGCTCCTCAAACTGCAAACAATAGAAATTTGCCAATTTTAATTAATAAACTATAATTGCTCTGAATGATTTTTTATCTACAAATAGACCTTCAATTCAAAACAAAACCTTAATTGTTGTTTTGAATGTGTTACTTGGTTACTTATGCAATTTTCTATGAAAAACAGCAAGAAGCTCTCAAAGTCAAATGCTTTGATTCTTCGCTAATTCGAATTCAAAGAGATTTGGAGACGCGCCTATCAATGGTAATTTCCACTCGATTAGGGTAATCAATGGCTCTCACTTCTGTTCCCGCCACGCACATTCATTTATCGCCCCAGAAATTTCACCCTGAGGACAAGGTTCAAAACAAACCAGAAACCAGAAGAATCGCCAAAAACTAATACCAACACTACTACAGAGGGAAGAAAACAGAAATATGTTGGAATATTAGAAAATCTCCCGAGTGATTACTTAAGATCGGCTGATATGGTGTCTGTGTCTGGGCGGTTCGAATGGGAGCGGGTGCTATATCAGCTGGGCTCGCTCTTTGCACTTGACACTTTTTTATATTGTTTCAGTGTGGTTATGTAACTTTTGCATGACCATAAATAATAATCGGAAAATGTTTAGTCCATAATTATTCACTGATTTGCCCGTACGCCTTCCGTATCGGACTGGAAATCTGGATAAACATAAACAAAGCGCACTGATAAAAGTGTCTAACGACTTCCACAGACACTCGCACACACACAGGCGAGTAATTAACCCTCTCTCACCCACTCACACTCACACACACACACATTTCTGCAGACGTTGCAATTAATTTTTATTCATGGAGAATGCCGCCTAGATATTTGAATTTTTTACGCTCTTGTTACTCACAGTGGAACTCTTTCGGCACAATGCAAACCCGAAAGTAATAAAAATTCTTTTTGGAATGCCCAGCAGCAGCAGAGAGAAGGTGACGAAGAGAACTGGATGGTGGTCAGGCGGCTGAATCTCAACTGATCGGCTCTACGAAAAATTCCAATTTCCAATCGACGAGAAAGCTAAACGTTCCAACGCGTTGGCTGATTGTAAACAACAGCTCTCCAGGGAGCGCGACCCGCTCTCCCCACGCTCAGTAACCCACACATGAAAAAATTATCTATTATGTAGTTTCTATTTTAATTATATTGGTTATTTTAAATCAAGTTGTTCCTAAGAAATTTATTTAGTTTACTGAGCTGAAACATCTACTTAATTTTTTCAAATACATTCTAAAACGATCTAATTTTCTTCATGTGCAGAGAGTGGGGCCAGCGAGTAAATGAGCCCCAAAGTAACGGCTCGGTGGAGATCTCTCACTGGCTCTCACTAATCAGAAACCCGTTTGGCCGGCAACAACAAACTGGACAAAGCTTTTCGACTGGAAAAGCTACAATTCCGCAGAACAAAAACAAGAATGTTTGACTTTGGTTTAACTTTCCGAGCACGCCACAAAGTAGACTAACATTTTCCCACTGCGATTACACAATAAACACTCACGCACACAGACAAAGCGCACAGCCCCACATCCACGCAAAGTTTTTGACCATCTTATCGCGGCGTTTAGTGCCCCAGTAATGAAATCGATAAAATTATAAAACCGTAATCAGTCTACTTTTAATTATTTACCAACTGACGCAACCCGGAGCCGGGTTGCTTCTAACGCTGCCGGCAAACGGTGAAAGTAAACTAAGGCCCGGCGCAAAGTATGGCCGTGCCGCCAACTCTCCGGTGATAACAACTGCGCCTGCGTCAGCCCCCTTGGTTCCTTAGGTTCCACAGTTACCACCCACACTTGTAGAACAACCAGCTCTACGGTGATTAATGGAACGGGAAGCGCGTGGGAAGAGCATCGAGTGAGTCAAGCCTGGAATAGTTTAAGTTCTCATTTAAGCACACAGTTGCGATCAAAATTATATACCTAAAAAATTACATAGGAAATTGTCATAAAAATATAGATAAATGACGACCCAAATAATGGTATTATAATTTTATTCAGAAGCTTGTAACGCTATGAAGGAGTCATTTCCGACCCTATAGTAAATATAAAATTATGTAGAAAATGAAAATAATATACTTATAATATATTATAATAATAATACCGTAAAAATAAAATTTGAATCTTGTAAATTGAATATAATTACTTGTAAATTAAGCTAAATTGAAGCAATTTTCTGGAATTATTTTTAAAAATATTAAAACAGCTTAAAGATAGTGTTTTTTACACAACTACTTTATTTAAAATACTCTCGGCTAAAAAAATCAGATGACAACTGCACACTTGGGGAAATTGAGAAACGCAAGATCAAGACTACTTCCACACCTTGCTGAAGAGGTCCATGAAGGAGTCGTAGATCATGAATGTAATGGCCACATCCAGGCACACGCGTCCCAGACGCGGCACTGTGCCCTTGTAGAAGGCGGCTGGTCCCTCATTCTTGAGGATCATCATCGCACAGTGGGCTGTGTTTTTGTATTTGGAGGCCTCGAGTCCCTGCATCCTAGTCTTGACCACATCCAGAGGAGTGTTGCCAAACACAGAAGCAGCTCCGGCAATGGCACCGAACGCACCCACCAGCAACTTGGGCACCGGCTTGTTCGGATCATCACCCTTGTACAGATCCTTCAGTGACTCCAGCACGAAGAAGCGGATGGCCTGGTTGGAGCCCTGCTTCAAAATAGTGGCAGTAAGACCCTTGTAGATGCCAGTGATGCCCTCTGCCTTGATGATCTCCCTCACCCCGTGGGCAAAACCATTAAACCTGGGATTATCGCTCCGCTGATCATTGATGAATTTCACCTTAATGGTCTCCATTGGGGTTACTGCCACAATTGCTTCGCAAACACCGGCACCCAGACCGCAGAGCAGCTTGCCGGAGTTACTCAGTTGTCCCCTGGAGTCCACAGAATGCGTTTTCAGGAACTCAAAGGCGCCAAATCTGCAAAATCAAATACAAATACTAAATGTCTATATTCATCTGTTATTTTAATATAGAAAGCTCTTACCTGCAAGCAGACTTGGGAATGCTGCCATAAATCAGCACACTGAGACCGCGGTAGAGTCCTAAGAATCCGCGCTCCTGCACCGTCTTCTTCACACAGTCAAAGATGCCATTGTACTTTTTATTCGCTCCCTTCTCGTCCAGCTGCAATTGTGTCTTGACGTACTCAGTGGGATATGTGATGCAGATTTCAATGCCTCCGGTTATACCGCCGGCCACAATACCCTTGAGACCCTGCTCTCCTCCACCAGCCGCCGCAGCTCCGGTCTTTGTCATCCAGGGACGCCGAGGATATGGGCTTACCAGGACAGCGATAGCCGGACAATCCATGCTAACAATAGACAAGGAACAAAAACCTTAAAGCTTGTACCTTTATTTTCAACTGATCAAAACTCAACCAAGGTATATCTACCAACTAACCTGTATATCAATTAAAGGTATATAGTACTTGTAGATATGATACTAAAAGCAAATCAATCTATGAATTAAAAGTCAAACTGACGGCATAAACTTAAATTCGAAACATATTTATATTCCTTAAAGTCCCAAGCGCGAAAAAGAAGAATCTTCCGCAGAACCACCTGATTTTCTTACTTATGAGAATTTTGAGATGTGTTACGAAACTTAACTAAGGTTTTCTCGATATTTTGTAATTGGAAATACATTTTGAATTTTGTGTCTAAGCAGATCGAACTTTGATTCTGAAATCTGAAAGAGAAACTTGTCAAGAAAACATTGGATATATTAAAGCACTTCAGTGTTTTGGTTTATTCAAATGCATTTTGGAAATCGGACCCCGAGTGAGGGGGGTATTCTTCTCGCATACACCGACTGCGGGTGTACGGGTGCTAAATCATAAATTAACATTAGGCTGAGCGTGCAGTTCCGTTTTTTTTTTTTCGTTTAGTTAGATTAATTCACTGTTAGTCAATAACAATAGTGGCTATCTGAGTTAGTTGCGATGCATGTAGTCGAATGATTATAGTTGTAGATCAGTCATGGACAGCTCCTGTCGCTTAGACAGCCTTGTAGACGCGCACGCACTTGACGTTGCCAATGGTGAGGGTCTGCGGAAAGGGAGGAATAAGTTAGACCAGGGATCTTGAGATGATCTCACGGGTACTCACGGTGATCAGCTCGCCATCGTTGAACTCGCGGACAATGGTGGTGGGCTTGTCGCCCTTCTGCTCCTGCGTGAGCTTGTTGCCATCGAGGGTGATGATGCTCTTCACGTTGCGACCATCCAGGGTCTCCTCGTCGAACTCCACGCCCAGCTTGAAGCTGATGGCGGAAGTCTTGAAGGTGGAGGTGGTGGTCAGGGTGTAGGTATCACCCTCCAGAGTCACCTCCACGGTGGGGCTCAGGCTGTTGCCCATCTTGCGCGTCACCAGACCGACGCCTGCGAAAAATAAATAAAATACAAAATTTAATAAAAGGTCAGAGAAATCGGGAACTAAGGGCAGGGAAAATGAAAAATTGGAATGCGAGAGATGAATTATGGGCAGACTGCACATAATTGAATTAGCCCAACAAACTCGGAGACCCAACAAGATCGGCCACAATGCAAATCATATTTTATTTAATTAAAAATAATAAAGCTGTATCACGAAGCCGAAGCAGTGCAGACTCCGCCGCTGCTGGAACGTCAAAAGTCGTGCTCAAGGTTAACGAACAATGCGGGCTCCTCCTCCTCCTCCTCCTCCGGGAGCTTATCAATTGGCAAGCCCCTCTATATATAGATCGGGCGGGGACAGCTCCTTATCTCCGAGTAGTTGCATTCAATATAAATGTTTAAATATGAACATCCCGTTTGCAACAGACGGGGCTCTTGAGAAAAAAGCTTAAAATTATTCAAAATTAACGAAAATCTCTTTAATATGATATGCATTTGGCCATTTCCGGTGACTGACAAGTTCAAAATCGATGGATTCAAGAGAAACAAGCGAAGCACTACAGAAAAATCAAAGATAAGCCATGTTATATAGCCATTAAATGATAAGACACGTAATTATTTGCCCGTTTGATAGCATTTGTTAATTGCACTATTTATATTTCTGTATTTCTATCGAATTTATAATTTATGGTCATGCCTCATTAGGTCGCAGTAATAAACACGTCTCGAGAACAATTAAACAAAGTAAAAACTTAATAATGGCTTGCATTTATCGAAGAAGAAAGTAAGACCTCTCCTGACCTCAGCTCAGGCTTTCTATATCGCTTTTATTTGGAGCGATTGTATATCCATCAAGCCAGCCAATAGGGCCAATCAATTATGCTCAATTATGTATGGCCGACGACAAGCTTGTAGCCTGTATTTGGCGCTTTACGAGTCCCCTCGAGTCAAGTGTCAACCGTCTGTCGCCGCGCGATAACTTCCCACTCATGGGAACCCAGCAACTGTGCCCAGAGATCGATTTATATGCACCGCATTGGTATATATGATTCGAGAACCTTGAATAGATTAGACTCGCCTGCCTGCAATTTCCAGCTACGGTCAAAGATAGGGCCTGCCCAAAGTGCAAAGACTGTAATCGTTGCCCAATTATCGTGACCATCCACCCCACATATATATAGGCATATAGTTTATCGCATTTATATATGACAGCTGATAACCATTGCCGAGGCCCCAGCCACAAACAGGTTGTTTTTTGGGCTTTGTTTGGATTTGAAAACCGAGATCCCTACGTGGCCCTGTCTGGGGACCAAGTCTAGCGTTGAAACCAAAACCGCAAGACGAGAAAAGTTCTGGCTTACTTGGGGGTCTGGAAAATAGATCCGGACCTCAAACTGGCGCGACATCTCCGGTTTCCCAATATACACAACATGTCATCCCCCACACACCGCACATGAAAAAAAACTATATTTAAAAGTATGAAATAAAATAAAGCATTTAGGTTTTAAGTTATAATAAACCCAGATAATAATGTGTAGTCTAGAGTTTAGACCCTAGACACAAACAGCAAGGCCAAAGATCGGAACCTATTTTCTTTTTTTTTTAGTAGACAGCAAACTTAATGGCCCGGGGCAAAGGTCAGTGGGAACTTTCCCCAAAAATCAGGCATACGGCATATATATGACGACACCTGTCGAGAAAGGCTAATATCACGATGATTTAATGATGAGGTGACTCAAAAAAGGGGGCCAAAGTACAGGCCATTTCATTAGTTTTTGGGTTTATGGCGGCACCAAGAGATAGATAAGCTTTTACTACTCTTATGCTTTTTGCACTCTGATTCGCAACTGTAAATCTTTTTCTTTTCGCAAGGTAAGCACGTTTTTTCGGCTCTTGCATCTCCATTTTTCTGCGGCGGTTCCCTCTATTGATTTTCATCTTCCACTAACACACAGGCATATGGGGAGTTTGCACAAACACACACACACACTGCAGAAAAAGCCGGCCGGTTGATTTCGGTGGCGTGTTTTCGGCTTCTTACTCCTCTCCCACCCTTGTGATGCATGAGATTTTTGCTGCATTGCGGATTTCTTTCACTTTCTGTAAACTTACCCAGCTCCTTCATGTACTCATCGAAGTTCTCGGATTTGTCGAGCTTGTACTTCTTTCCAACGAACGATGCCATTTTAACGGTATGTCTGGTGTGTGGTTCTGCACAAGATATTCACTTTTCAAATTTTGCGGAGCGAATAGAATTTTCGTTGTGGTGGCGCTCTTTTATACTCTCCAGACGCCGAAATAGGGATGGAAGGCTTTCGATAACCTTTAAGCTTTCGGTAACATCGATTGTTTTCCGTTGAATTTAAATACAATTTTTTTTCTGCAGAGACATTAACCCGAAAAACTACAAGTTACGCAAGTTTCGTTATTCAATTTTCTAAAATTATTTACACAAAAATATATCAAAATTATTATTGAAACGATACAGATATCCAAACTGAAAATTCAAAATATTTAATTAAAACAATCGATAGTCGAAAACTTTGATAGTGCCAGCTCTAATTGACAACCGCCAGAAATTGAAGAAAGCTCTCTCTCTCACGCTCTGAAAAGTTATTGAGCGAATGCTGCTGTTGGTTTTGAATTTTTTATGTCTGCTTGGCGGATAAGAGCAAACATTAAATGGTCTTGGGATCGGCTTACCTGATGCAAAACCGCGTACAGTTTATACATAGTATATTGCATTAGTGTGTATATCTGCGTCACGGAGTTCTTTATTCGACTTGTTACATAAAGCTGATTTTTGTCGCTCTCCAAAATAAAAACGGTTCCATGTATGCGATCAGTATAGCTTTCTCCTCTTACTCTCCCCACGAGTTGTCAGTCAGAGCGCCAGACCAGCCCCCCTCATGCACCTTAGCGTCAGCCATCGCCTGCAGCCTTAATTGATTCAAAGGTGCCGGCCTAATAACGGGAACTATGTACATTGTCAGCAGCAATGCAATGTATGAATGTATGAAATATCTTGATATGAATGAAGCTCGAAATACAGTCAAGTATTCGGGATTTTATATATTTTAAGACTTTAAAAATAGCTTTTTGCTGCAAAAGATTTTGTCTAGAAGCGACTTTGAACCTCCATAATAAATAGATTTAAAAGTTTCCACAGTTCTATATCTTTTTCTCAATATCTACCTTTTAGGATATATACTTGAGGGCGAAATGGTAATTCCCGAGCCCAAAATTGCTGATAGTCATCAATAAAAGTCTATGCGCATAGCGAAAAGCTTTAAATTATCACCTATCCATAAAACTATTTACGGCTTTTCCATAATCGATTAACTTGGTCAATTCTCGTTAAGAAATAAATAGAGTTGATATCATTATAATCGAGAAAATACTTACGGAAAACTTATATATAAATCAACGTAATTTAAAAACTGGAACTGAGCCTAATTTAAATAGATTAACATTGATATTTTAGCTAGAGAAGTTATTTAACTTTGTGCGCCCTTTTTCTATTGATCCAGGTGTCCAGCTCAATATAGATAAAAATTGGAATAAAAAAGGTTGGACTTTTTATCTACCCATATGTACATATACCCATTTAAAAAGGCGATCCTCTGTGGGTCAGTGGCACCAATTGAAAACTCACGGGAACTGCTAAGTGATCATGTGCATGTGTATAAATAATAACTTTCGACACAATTCGTTGCATATTATTAGTGTGAATATCTTTTGAAAAGTCGCCGCACCACTGAATTGTAATCTAATCAAGCACTTCCTTCCACCCAAGCCCAATCCAATGCAATATTGAGATTACCCACGATCTCTATAAGCTGGCAGGCCCATCCTCTGTTGGGTGGCAACTATGTACTTTTTATATACATATATACTCATATATATATAAGTAAGATTTCGTTTGGTGCCTTCAGTTATCGTATTAATTCAATTATCAATTCGTAGACCTCCTTACTCGTCAACCACCCCTTATAATTATATGGCCGATCATAAAAGTTAAAGTTAGTTTGTTGCTATTGGAAATGCACAATCGTTATATTTAAGTGCATATGACGAATTTGACGCCATAGCTTTCCAAAATGCTACATTGGTTTTAAAATTTAAAAGATTTTATTTTTAAATAAATGTATTTAGCACCTCCCTCCTCCTCAGAAGCTGAAAAAGCAGTGAAAGAGTCATTTCCGGAGTTATAAACCATATATATTCTTGATCAGCATCAACAGGCGCATCAATCTAGCTATATCCGACAAAAATTTAATTTTTTCAAAAATTTAAAAATTTTATTAGGGGTTACATCGTTAAAATTGTCAAAATTTAATAAAAAAAATTAAATTCTTCTAAATCTTATATTGAGTATGCAGATTTGTTAACCCAATTAAAACTAATAAAGGACTGCTTTCCGAATTAATCTTAATGCTTTTTTGTCTTAGTTATGACAAAAAATTGAATTGTCGAAAAAATTGTTATATAAAAATATCAATAAATATTGATTATTATTTTAATCTTAGTTATGATTGATTCGTTTTCGATTCTATCCTAAACTACAAACTGCAAGAGTATAAGAACTTCGACTTCCCTCAGTTAGTTTTTTATTATTAAAGCCTAAAGTTAATTTAAAACTAAGCTTTACCTATGTTTAAGTAAACTCTGAGAACTGACGTTTTTATTAGAATTTATTGTCTCTGTTTCATTCCTCTTATGGAAGTCTTTTGGGATCCCTAAGGAAACCTAAAAGTATGCAGTAAAAATACAAATATGGCTTTCGTGCCACTGACACCTGGCGCTACTTTTTTAGACCGTTAAAATCATAAATTTAAATGGTCTTTATCGTATTGCTTAGTCACTTTTGGAGTCTTTTTTGTATTATCTACCTAAGTTGTTTTCTCAGAATTTACAAATGTACATATGACACCTTTAACATCAAGGAGATCAAGCGTGTACAACGAGTACATCAACAAATTTGCAAGCTAATAGAATGTTTGCCAGATAAAAGGCGTATCATAGTTACACATTGGTTATTACTGATTACAAGAGGCAAGTGTCAAGCAAAAAATGGGGAAAACAGGCGTTGGGGCCGCTTATCACACGATATAAGATACCAGGGAGACCTTTAGAATTGGAGAGCAAAGAATGGGAAAGTGATGGATGGAAGAGTGTAGCTGAAGAGAGCGAAGAACAGAAGAGCAACAATCGGAAGAGAGTGCTGCAAGCAAAGTCAGTTGGGGCTCCAGAGAGTAGGGGAGCTTACTGAGAGCCCCAAATAGCTGGTGGCCAGAAAGAGAGCACCGTTCCGATCTTAACCTGGCACAACAAGTACAGAGAGTGGACACTGAGAGAAAACTTTAGCATAAGCTTTAGAAAAGCACAAAATGTTGTATTACATAAATATATGTCCCTTTCTGAAGCTAGATAAACGTTTACAGTGTAATCTATACAATATTGTTTTAAAATTTCCTGTTAGCAAATTCTTTAACAGACATATTTCCATCAATGGAACATTTTAAACTTATAACTTAGTTTACTAAATTTTAATGACCTCAGCTTTCTGTGGCAATCGTTTCTCTCAGTGCAGTGGAGCAACTATTTAATGGAAGCGCGAGAGCGGAGCGCATTAAACAAAGCGGAGTGTCGGAGCGAGCACGTCGTCGTGGATCGAGCAGCGTACTAAGCCATGCGTATTCCCGTATGCTTCCGATAAGTTCGATGTGGACAAAAGCAAATTAGAAATACAGCGCAACGCGACCGATGACGAAATTCGGCTGTTACAGAGATAGAAGTGAACCGAAGTGATCTCTGGGAGCAGCAGCCTGCCTGTCCGACGCGTTGGAATAAAATCAAATGCCGAGTGATATTACCTGTGCGGCGGCAGTGGAAAAGTTTACTCCCTTCGGACGCGATTAGAAATCGAAATTAGAGATACAAGATACAAGATACAAGATACAAGATACAAGATCTGAGATCTCTGAAGTTGCTCGCTCGCTGGCTCCCTGCTAATGCCAAACTAATTATATTAGAGGCAAGCGCGTGTCCCCTTTCGGATCGAAGAGTGCTAATCAATCGCTGGCTAATTCAAAGACAATCAATCCCCCCTCCTTCCACCCTGCTCAAACAAGTCCCCCTGTAATGCAACAGTGTACATAGTGCAATTCAACTCCAATTAGTGTAATCCAACCTGCCAATCCATTAGCCATGCAGTCAATGAAAGCCGATGAACTGCCGGAGAATCCGCGCGAGCGTTCCAATCCCCTCTCCTCGATGTTCTTCTGGTGAGTTAACCCAAATTTTTGAACTGGCTGGTGATATCTCTAAAAGAAGTATCTTAATCATTTATGTTTATAAGGTAAACACACAACTTATACTTTGTTGTTTGTTGTGAAATACAAATAAGCTTTAAATAGTTCTTCTTACGAAAATAAATATTAATAAAAAGATTAGAGCCGCTTTGATAAGAGAATTAACGCCATTGATGACTAGTTTACGTGCTAGTTTTTGTTGTATGGGGAACGCTTTTAGATTCAGATTGGGATTCAGGGCAAGGGGATTTTCGGATAGCTATGACGGAGCTACCGACGCGACAACACTGACAAGTTGATTATTTCATTCAATGGCTCGCTTAATTTGCATGAGCGAGTAGTCGTGGAAATCTTTACCCATTCGGCCGGAGCCCCAGCAGAGTCCGAAGCTTTATTCAATTGGCTACCAATTGAAGGCGACACTTTTCCAGCGCTGCTCCGTTCTTTAGAACTTCTCCTAAAGGGAATAATGCCACAATAACTATGATATCCGATAGGAAAAGTGCTGACAAATGGAATGAATCAGAGGGTATCACAAGGTGTGGATATACCCAGTTCAGTCAAGCCTTCAAACATTAAAACTTTATCAGCCAGCGTACAATTTCGATTTAGGGAGACTTTAACTTACTGATTAGATTTAAATCTAAACATTTCATTATGCTGAGTTAGTTAACTAATTATTTCTGGTCATTACAATCTGCGGTTTATTTCTGATAAAAAAATATTTGATAAACTTCATACTGACGTTGGCTTTTGCTCATAAATGTGGGCTTATCAGAAAATATATGTTCCTTGCATTGATAATAATATCAAACAGTGATGTATTATTATTTTGTTGTAGCACGTAATTGTTACTAGATTTCGAGTTACAAAAACTTCATTGTGACCGTGACATACTAGTTATTATATTGCTGGATGGGCTAGCAACAGTTTTTCTCTCTTGTTTTGGTTGTGATAAGCCTCTGGGAATGTCACTTGTCTCCTCCTAATTTTCCTTTTTTTGTGGCTGTCATCACATAAGAATTATCAGTATCAGTCGCTGATAAGAGAAAGCCTTCCGCTAATTATATTTTTGTTATACTCTCAATAAAATGTGGCTTTAACCTTGCCTACGTGATGCTGTTCCCACCTGAAGTTTTGCCATGCCCGTGCTTTTCAAGGGGCGGAAGAAGACCCTGGAACAGAAAGATCTTTATAGGGCACTCAAAGAGCACAAGTCAGGTGAGTTAATCTATTTATTAAGTTTCCAAAGAAGTCTTTAGTATTCATGTTAATCTCTCTCTCTCTAAAATGTAGACTCTCTGGGAGATCGTTTGTGCGCCGCTTGGGATGAGCAGGTGGCCAGAAATGAGACACCGCGTCTGGGCCGAGCCCTGATGAAGGTATTTGGCTGGAAGCTGATAGTTACGGGTATTTCCCTCTTTCTCCAGGAGTTTCTAACCAAGTGAGTAGCTTCTGGTGAGGAGTAATTACAAAGACAACTTACTGATACCCTGTCTTTATGTTCTTTCAGGGTCACACAGCCCATTTGCCTGTTCGGGGTTATGGCCTACTTTTCCGGCAATGATCCGGACCTCAACAAGGCTCAGTTCTATGCCGCGGGTCTGATAGCAGGCTCCGTATTTAGTGTGTTAATTGGACATCCCTATATGTTGGGGCTACTTCACCTGGGCATGAAAATGCGTGTTGGTAAGTTGTGATTTCTTTATATAATATTGATTAAATCCCAACTTATCTCCATATCTTTGCAGCACTCAGCAGCCTCGTCTATCGAAAGGCTCTCCGACTAAGTAGGACCGCCTTGGGCGATACCACCGTGGGCCAAGTGGTCAATCTCCTGTCCAACGATGTGGGACGCTTCGATTTGGTTCTGATCAACGTACACTACCTGTGGTTGGCTCCACTCGAGCTGATTCTAGTCACCTACCTGATGTATCGAGAGGTAAGTGGGTGGTTAGGATACCGGAGAGAGGAAATGTTTCTAAACAAACCGGTTTCGAGTTGATGGAACATTTCCATTCGCCCTTTTAAGTTCTTTTGAACGTGACCCGCAAACATGGCTTAGCATAATGCTAAGCTTCCATAAAATGATAGAAAAATAAACAACCGACAAAAACATTAATGCTTTCCCCTGGTTACAGCCATATTCATGACCATTTTGGGTTTACTTATTCAAACATTAAGCTATCACTTAATAGTTTGGCTGTGAATATAAATGTTTGCTTATTATTATTAATTACTTTTCGTACATACACAAATGGCAGACCAATTACAAAAGCAGTAAATGGAAATTGTATTTAATTTGGAAAGGAAATAATAATTTATACAATTAAAATTAACTAAATTCTATATTTTTTCAGATTGGGGTATCTTCTCTCTTTGGCGTTGCTATAATGCTGCTCTTTCTACCCTTCCAATCCTACCTGGGCAAGCGGACCAGTGTGCTCCGACTGAGAACTGCCTTAAGGACGGATGAACGCGTTCGAATGATGAACGAGATCATCTCGGGCATCCAGGTGATCAAGATGTACGCCTGGGAGAAACCCTTCGGCAAGGTGGTGGAGCTGACACGCTTTAATGAGATGCTGTGCATCAAGCAAGTCAACTACATCCGCGGCATCCTCATCTCCTTCGCCATGTTCCTGTCCCGCGTCTTCGTCTCGTCCAGCCTTATTGCCTTTGTCCTGCTGGGAAATATCTTGAATGCCGAGAAGGCGTTCTTTATCACTGCCTACTACAATATCCTGCGACGCTCGGTGACCATGTTCTTCCCACAAGGCATCTCCCAGTTTGCCGAGCTATTGGTCTCCGTGCGTCGCCTGGAGACATTCATGCACCGACCAGAGACCCAGGTCCGGGATAAGTCAAGGAGTCCCACTCCGGCACCAAAGGGAGAGTCACTAAATGGAGACAGCCCCAAGAGCAATGGCCTGTCGGAGAATCTGATCGAGTTCAATCAGTTCCAGGCCCGCTGGGAGAGTCATTCGGTGGATCCCACGCTGGAGGACATCAATCTACAGCTGGGACGTCGCAAATTGGTGGCCGTCATTGGACCCGTGGGCGCTGGCAAATCCAGTTTGATCCAGGCAGTTCTTGGTGAACTGCCTGCGGAGAGCGGAACTCTCCGGGTCAACGGCAGCTACTCCTATGCCGCCCAGGAGCCATGGCTCTTTACCGGATCCGTGCGCCAGAACATCCTGTTTGGCTTGGAGTGGGATAAGCATCGCTATCGCACTGTGGTCAAGAAGTGCGCCCTGGAAAGGGACTTTGAGCTGTTACCCTATGGCGACAAAACGATTGTGGGTGAACGTGGAGCTTCACTTTCGGGTGGCCAAAAGGCTAGGATTAGTTTGGCTCGTGCTGTATATCGACGAGCAGATATTTACCTGCTGGATGACCCACTTAGTGCTGTGGACACCCATGTGGGCCGTCATCTCTTTGACCAATGCATGCGAGGTTACCTGCGAAGCGAACTTGTTATCCTGGTCACGCACCAGCTGCAGTTTTTGGAGCAAGCTGATCTCATAGTGATCATGGACAAGGGTCGAGTTAGCGCCAAGGGGACGTACTCGTCCATGAAGCGCAGTGGCTTGGACTTTGCCCAACTCCTTACGGCACCCAATAAGGAGGATGAGGCACTGGAGGAGACGGAGTTTGACATTGGCGATGGTGTGGATCGCTTGGGCGTGCCCTCGCTGAGCAGAAGGGACAGCAAGATCAGTAAGCCGAGCACGCGGAACAACAGCTTCACCTCGTTGAGTTCCATGGCGGAATCGATGGCCCAGGAGGCGGCCTTGCAGATGCAGGAGACTCGAGTGGAGGGCAAGATTGGACTGGGACTGTACAAGGAGTATCTGACGGCGGGCAGCAGCTGGTTCATGCTCCTCTTCATGGTGTTTCTTTGCCTGGCCACACAGATCCTGTGCTCGTTTGCGGATTACTTTTTGTCCTATTGGTAAGTAGATGAAATTTGATTTTCTTTATACCATATTTATCCTTGCTCTTACAGGGTCGACAAGAATACCGATGGCACTGACATTAGCTCGGATCCCGAGGATATGTACTACTTTTCCGCCCTTAATGTGGCCGTGGTGGTGTTTACCATCGTTCGTACAATGCTCTTCTACAAAATGGCCATGCGCAGCTCCACCCACTTGCACAATGCCATGTACCGTGGCATAACGAGAGCGGCCATGTATTTCTTCAACACGAATCCCTCGGGACGCATTCTCAATCGCTTCTCCAAGGATCTGGGACAGGTGGATGAAGTCCTACCCACCGTAATGCTGGATGTGGTACAAGTCTTCCTCACACTGCTCGGCATCATCATTGTGATCTGCATCACCAATCCCTACTATATGATCCTCACATTTGCCCTGGCCATTATTTTCTACTACATAAGGGAGTTCTACCTGAAGACTTCGAGGGATGTAAAGCGTTTGGAGGCGGTGGCCAGGTCACCGATTTACTCGCATCTGGGCGCCACCATCAGCGGCCTGCCGACGATTCGTGCGTTGGGAGCTCAGAAGGAACTAATTGCCGAGTTTGACAATCTCCAGGATCTGCATAGCTCCGGTTACTACACCTTCCTGGCCACGAATCGTGCCTTTGGCTACTATCTGGACTGTTTCTGCACGATGTACATTGTGATCATAATCCTCAATTACTTCATTAACCCACCGAAGAGTCCCGGGGAGGTGGGCTTGGCCATTACCCAAGCGATGGGCATGACTGGAATGGTGCAGTGGGGCATGCGTCAGTCGGCGGAGCTGGAGAATACAATGACCGCCGTGGAGCGGGTGGTGGAGTACGACGAAATCGAGCCGGAGGGTGAGTTTGAGTCCCGTGAGGGCAAGAAACCCCCACCAAATTGGCCCGAAAGGGGTGAGATTATAACGGAGGATCTCTGCCTGCGCTACTTCCCGGATCCGCAGTCCAAGTATGTGCTCAAAGCCTTGAATTTCCGTATCCGGCCCTGCGAAAAAGTGGGCATCGTTGGACGCACTGGAGCGGGCAAGTCGTCGCTGATCAATGCACTTTTCCGACTCTCCTACAACGAAGGCATCATCACCATCGACGAGAGGGATACATCTGAGATGGGACTCTTTGACCTCCGAAGCAAGATATCCATCATACCCCAGGAACCGGTGCTCTTCTCGGGCAGCATGCGTTACAATCTGGATCCCTTCGAGGAGTATAATGATGCCAAGCTGTGGGAGGCTCTCGAAGAGGTCAAGTTGAAGCCTGTGATTGCTGAACTGCCAAGTGGTTTGCAGAGCAAGATTAGCGAGGGCGGCTCCAACTTCAGTGTGGGACAGCGGCAGTTGGTGTGCCTGGCGAGAGCCATTCTTCGGGAGAACCGAGTCCTTGTGATGGACGAGGCTACGGCAAATGTAGATCCGCAAACGGATGCCCTGATACAGGCCACAATCCGGAGTAAATTCCGCGACTGCACGGTGCTGACCATAGCCCATCGACTCAACACGATCATGGACTCGGATCGTGTGCTCGTGATGGATGCCGGTCATCTGGTGGAGTTTGGATCCCCCTATGAACTCCTGACGGCCACCGAGTCAAAGATCTTCCATGGCATGGTGATGGAAACGGGTCAGAATAGCTTCGATAGCCTCCTCAAGGTTGCCGAGAAGGTGAGTGCTAAGAGATAATGATTAAATGTTTGCTCCGTTTGTTTATTATTAATTTTTGATTTTCCTTATCTTTTCAGGCTCATCTGGAGGCGAAAAAACCGAAATCGGAGTAGATGGCACAGGTTTATACTTAGTTTATTAAGGTCTCAACTCCTGCAAATTTGTACCTAATCCAGCCAGCTGCATTTAAGTTAATTTGCTACTTAAAGTATTATACGCCTTTGAACCTTACATACCCTACTTATGGAAAGTCCCTTCTTGTAGATTTAGTATGAAATACAGAAGCAGCCCATCGAATGGTTAAATACATACAGAGTCTCAAAAATAAAACTACTTTAAATGCTCTGCAAGAGAAGTCGAAGGATCAAATCAGTTTTTGAGTATCTAAATTACTGTTGAATTATGATCCACACTTTATTGCCAAACTATTTATTATATTCTGTAGATACATCTGGTAAAAGCTACGTGCAAAAGTTGCTAAACTTAAGAACTTATATGTGTTAACTACCAATTTTAAATACTATTTTTTTTAACAAGTTCTTGGGTCAGAACCCACTCATACCACGCTGGAGGTCACCGAGGCCCTTGAGCATACTATAGCCTTGGGACGGATTTGAACCACAGCTCGCTTGGGGATTGTGGTGGTGATCAGGTCAAATCCCCGGAATAAAAATATCCCACAGGAGTCGCAGGCGATCAGCAGAACGGCCGTGAGTTGGACCATGATCACTTTGATCACGGATGGGTGTACATTTGGCCAATCGATCAGATGGCGAACAGAAATCATAAAGGACAGAACCACGACATTGCAGATGAGCATCACGCAGATGAAAATGGAGCTTATCTCGTGGCGCCCAAATGTGCTGAGTGCGCGGAAGCTGGCCAGGATTATGATGAGGGGGATGAGCATATGGACAAATAGCAGGAATCCCAACATAGTGGGGCAGCAATGTGGCATAAACAGTCGATCCGTATTGGCCAAATAGGTGAAACTCTGCAGCCAATGGCCTGTTCCCATCATTAAGACGTAGAAGTAAAGCAGGATGGAGACGGCAAAACGGTAGCAAAGTTGCAGATACTCCTTGGATGTTAGCATTGGTTCGTCCTTATCCTCCTCCTCCTTCACCTGTTGCCTGGTCTCCAAGTGCACCTCGATGCCCTGCTGATACTCTATGACCAATAGCTGGGCAAAGAGAGAGGTGTACGAGTCACTCAGCAGGACATGAACGGTCAGCAGGTTAAAGCATATCAACTCTAGGCGAGATCGGAGACAGGTATTCCCACTGTAGGGTATCGATATGAACGCATAGAACAGGTACGCCCAGTTGGCCGCCATCATGTAGATGGGAACCGCCTTGCCCGTCTCCGTGAAGCAGATTCCTACTCCTCCCATAATCAGCATTCCCCCGTTGACCATCCACACGCGCTTCTGGTGATTTTCGTCGAAAATGTAGGGACGCAGGACAACCAGCAGCATACTTAACGCCTGCAGGATCATCCGATAATTTGTGTCCATCAAGAAATCCATTTTGGGTAGAAAGCCTAGGAACAAGCTCAGCATTATAACCAGAACCAACCAGGCCACGACCTTGATGGAGGGGCGCTCATAGCCCAGTCGGTTGTAGTAGCCAACAGCCAGAGCATATGTCAGGCTGAGGGAGTAGTTGCAGCACAGCGTCACAACGATGAGTCCAGCAGGTATAACGATCCATTTCAAGTGGGTCCAGACATCCAAGATACTATGACCTTTCAGTGGCAACTCGGCCAGGGCCAGGCACCAAAAGCCAAAGGGCGCCACCAAACAGACGATTGTCAGAAGCGGTAAGCACTGCAGGAAGGCCAGCTCTCCCAGTAGCAGTCCCAGAGCGGAGAGCAAAATCGTTCCCGCAGTCCAAAAGCCTCTACGATGCTCTTTGGAGGCCCTTGAATCCCGGTACAGCTTCAGCACCAGGTAGAGTTCCCAGCCCAGAAGAGTCATTGCTGTGGCCACCGCCAGCGGAATGTGGTAGTATCCCACGTAGGACTTCACGGAGTTCAGGGCCAAACTGGCTGCTACTTGGCTCGTCTCCATGGCCTTCTCCTGCCAGCGCTTTTTCGTGAGGCGGTTTATTTGATATTGATAGTAGGAAATTCGCAAAAGGTCCAAGTCTCCGGCCTTAGGAAGCCACTTGTTGAAAAAGCCGCGTTTGTGGCGTTTCACAAGGACCCTGGCCTGAAGTAAAAGTTGCAGTGCGTTCAGGTGCATTGCTTTCCCCTCCTCCTCATGGGACACATTCAGGTAACCCAAAGGCAACTTGCCCTGATTATTGACCGGTGGTGGTAAGCCAATTAAAGCAGACATTAGCGGCGCCAGCTGGATCTGCTCCAGTCTCTGGATCGTTCGGTTAGCATTGATGCCGGAGCCCCAGAGAAGGAAAGGTGTCTCCGTCTCGTCCGGAGTTCCAGCGCCATGGGAGCCTGAAACAGATATCATCTTAGTCACCTTACTAACACGCATCTCTTCGCTATTCTTACCCAGATTACTGAGTCCATGTGCTGAGGTCATCAGGTAAGCAGTCCTCTTATCCCTGAACACACTTTCCATCACTTCGTAGGACTCAAATATGCCCGCCTGGGCTCTAAACAACTTTTTCAAATATATCTCGTGCCATGGACTGGCCCCGCCTACATCACCCATGTGGACCAAGATCAACACCCTGCTGGCGTTCCTTATCCTGCTCTGGTTGGTATCCTCGGACAGGTAGTCTTGCAGATCTATGAAACTAGAATCCGTTTCGGGATTGTCACCCACAAATTTGAGTAAGATCCCATCAGGAGAATCCAAGGTGCGATTGAAGATAGTGTCATAGGTGGCCGTGAGCGGTGGCGACGGATGGAATCCGGCAATCAGAGCCACATTACCCGGTTGGGTAAGCGTTGGCACACTGGAATGGGCTATGCCCCTCAGACCTTGGCACTGAAATATCTCGTCCAGCTGTGGCATCCGGCTGAGGTTCTGCGAGAAGAATGTTTTCGCGCTGAGACCTTCGGCGAGGAACACCACTAGGCGATCGGCAGGCGGCCTCACACCCATTTCCGGCAGCGTCATCTGCGGCTCCAGGTGGATCAGCGGCGCGGACTGAAAGTAGATCTTCAGAACGCAACCGAGCAGCAGAAGGTGCACCAGCACGGCCTTTGTCTTCCACATATTTAGCGGGATTGTTGATTTACCCCAAAAACTTAATAAAATCCGACGATATATCAGGAACACAGCATTTGTGAAAAGTGAGAATAAGCACCAGAAAAATATCCGACAGAGAGCCCACTTCATTTCCGAATGTTTCAGCTATGAATAAAGTCAAGAGCAAATTAGACACTGGTTTATGAAAAATCGTTGCAAATCTAGTAACCTGAGACAAATCTGTCAGCAGTTTTTCCACTCCAGCTACAGCTCAGCAAACTCCCATATTCAGACAGGAACACCCTTTTGGATACAATGCTGGAATCTTATCGAAGTCTCGTGGTCCTGCAGCTCTTGCCGCTGCTTGCAGTTCTATTGATTTACTTTCATACAACATCCTTGGATGGGCTGAAACCGCAAAAGAGTGCAGAGGACACGCCACCGGCTGATCGCCTGGTGGTATTCATAAGGGACAACTTGTCTGCCCACACTTTCTTCTCGAATCGCTGTCAGAATGTGCCGATGCTGAGTAATATCTTCTCGCACGAAGGTCTGGTGGGAGTTAGTTGTCCAGAGGCACCCACCTACCGTCCAATTTCGCCATATGTGGCTCTATTTTCCGGTATCAATGAGGATGCAGTCACAGTGGCACGCAGCTGGCTGTGGCAATCGAAGGCTCCTGACTCCCTTTTCGAGCGATGCCGTCAAAACTTTGCCTGGACGACACCGGAATTAGGATCTTACTTTCCCAAAATGAACTTGCACCGGGCAATGGACTTCCAAGCGGAGGATTTAGTTGCTGGGAGCGTGAAGCATTTACTCTCCGACGAATCCCATCACTGGCAAACTACAAAAGGTATCCTTTTCTTTGTGCACCTAGCGGGTGTGGAGCCCACTCGAAAAAGTCTGCCACGCATTGAAGCCAACATTATGGACATGTACAAGCTCTTCGAAAAGAGATTTCCCGACCGGCGAACGGCATACCTACTCACCTCCAATCTGGGTAAACCCAAGCTTCAATGTAAGAGCTTCTATTATCTCTGCCATGACTATGACGAATCCTTTTATCATTATTCACAGGGAAATGCAAACTGTCTGTTGAATCGCCGATTATGTTGTGGGGCGCAGGAGTGGCACACGCCATATCTGGTGGTGACCGCACCATTATGGTTAATGCCACTGGGTACAAGTTACCCCTGCATGTCCTGAATCCTCTCCAGCTTACGTCCCTATTAAGCGCTCTGCTAGGACTCCCGCCTCCAGTTTACAGTCTCGGCATGCTTCCAATTGGCTTGTTAAACGTGAGCTTGGAGTACGAGGCCAAGGCCATGCTGACCAATGCCCAGCAACTGGTGGCACAGGCTCGTCGTATGAGAGAGATGCATCCCGGGAGTACTCCCGCTTATTGGCTGGACTTTCCCCTGATGGACTCCTTTTTGAAAAACTGCTGGCGCCTCGTGAGGCAGCAACGCTTCAAGGCTCTGCGGGAGTACAGCTGTAACTACATGCCGCTGCTGATTAAGGAAATCGACTTCTACAAGGACTACTTTCGCGATGCCATGGTCTGGGCAGTGACCGTGGCTGGAGTCGGATGGCTTTGCTGTGTGTACCATACCCTTTCCGATGGCCATGGTCGAGAGGTGGGTCCCATTAAGGGGCTGGTGCGGCTCAGAGGACTTTCTCGACTGCTGACCGGTGTATTGGTGATCTTTATGATGCTGGAAAGGATTCCCTTGCTGGTGCAGGCCATACTGCTCCTGCCTTCCCTCTACTGGATGATCACCCTGAAGATGTGGGGCCAAAAGACCAAAACGGTAAGCCTACGTAGCGGGATTGAGTCCGCTCTACTGGCCATGACTTGCCTGGGTGGCTTTTACAGTCGCTCCATTATGGGCCTGGGCTATTTGGGATTTGCCTGTTACTCCAACAGAGATGGCTTTCGGGTCCGAGGAATGCAATTCTACCTGTGGCTAACTATGGTTCTGGGACTGTCGCTTGTATCTCTTCTCCCGGAGTCACTGGGACATTTGCAGCCAAGAGCTCTGCTCGTTAGCATCTGGCTGACCCTTATGCGGCCCCTGGCCTTCGGAGTGTACCTAAATCCCGTGACCTGGCTGGTTAACATTGGCATGCTCTTGATTTCTGTCGAGTACGTTTTGGTGGGCTCGTTTACTTGGGCTACGTATGCTGCTTCCTGGGTCTATCTGGGCTACGTTGCCTTCGGACAGCGACGCAGTCTTCAGCCCAACGAGCTAATGCTCTTCAACCTGAGCACCCTGTACACCTTGACATGCACCTCTTACGAATCGGTGGTTATCCAAATGCTGGGCATGGAACTGCTGCTGGGACTGAGGATGAAGCTGGAGAGGAACGAGACAATTGGAGCGAGTACTGTATCCCATTACATACTGGTGTACAGCTGGTACTCTCTGTTCGTGATTGGAAGCTTTCCAGCCTGCCAGAACTTCTTCGAAATCGTCCATGAAACCACCTTTGGCAACTTCTTTTTAACCCACATCCTGACTACGATGCTAAAGCTGTTCCTGCCTTGGCTGCTGATGCTCTGCATCCTGGCTGGTAACTACAAGGATATATGGTGCCACGAGAGGCAGATCTTTATGCGGCTGCTCCTGCTGAACAGTGCAATGTCGATGGTGCTACTGCACCAAGTTCGAAGCGATGGGCCATGGCGAAATATCCTTAACAGTTTTACCAAGTTCGGCATGGTGCAGGTGTTTCCGCTCTTATGGCTGCTGCTGTGGCGTCTGGCTCACCACAAGCTGGGCTCCAAGTGGATTACCCAGCTGCCAGACAGGGTGGCCTAAGGGAATCTTCTATAAACTTTGCATTTTAAAGCAAGATTTCATGGCATTTTATAATAAAAATAATTATATTGTTTCATTTACTTTTTTGAATTAACGGATAAATTCAAAACCTAACGAAACTCAAACATCGTGAAAAGGTGTCGGCAACTGTTAGCGTTGCCATATCGTTCCTAGCTGGCTGACCAGACATTTGTGGTCACTCTGTTACTCGGTATTATCTCCATTGGCGCGCACGGTCACACAACGATTAAGCATAGAAAATAAACAAAAAGCTCTGCGGAAATTATGTTTTCACGATAATAAGCAACACATTTGTGCTGGCGCAAGTGTTTGCTGGAAAATTCAACCCCCCGGGTATCGCGAAACCGCACGAGGACGTGGAAGTTTGCCGCGGAAACGGCTATTGCGTATCCCTAACCACGGAAGCAGCAGCAGAGCAACAGCAACAACAACTTAGTAAAAGGTGAGGCAAAAGTTTACATGTGAATGTGGGGGCGGTCGGTGTACGAACTGTTCACTGTTAATAACAACAATTGCCATGTATTGTGCACGTACCAACACACACACACACGCACACAGTGTCACACACTCATTTTGGAGCGCGTAGGCAAAATGGCAGCCCAAAAACAAATTGAGTTAAGTTTTAGTTTCCACCTAACACCTCCATCGAGCCCCCATCGCCTCCGTCCCCGCCCCCGCTCCATAGCCTAGGTTTGCTTGCGCCAACACCACGATCTTGCTCTATGACTCGGCCACCTAGCAGCGATAAGGTTCTAATTCCGTTCTCGATCGGTAGGCCTGCGAAGGTCGGATATTGTCACGCCGGGTATCTTTGCCAGAGATTGCATATGTACATATGTATGTATGTACTTATGCCCTGCTGTTCCGTCTCTTGCAGTGCGCTCTTGCACTGGGCTTTCCCCCTTTCGCTGACTTATGCACCATATTCATGAATGGGTATGTTGACTCTGAGCATTCTTTGAGTCGACATTTTTATGTGACAACTTTTTACTCAAATTAAAGTTTCAAAAACTCATAACTAAGCTAAAAATGCATCAATTTGAATTCCCAAACCGTTATTTTTCTAGTTTTTATCAGGAGAATAAATTTGCATACCTAATTTATAGTTTTAAAATATTAAAAATTTTATCAATTTTTCGATAAAATTTCTAAAAATTAAAAAAAAATTGAAAAAATTAAATTTTTGTCGAACATAGCTAGATCAATCCGCCTGTTGGTGCTGATCAAGGATATATATGATTTATAGGGTCGGAAGTGACTCGTTCACTGCTTTTTCAGCTGCTGACTAAAATTAGAATACCCTTGCAAGGGTATAAAAATTAGCGTTTCTCATAGAATGGTGACAACAAACTTTAAACCAGGTTAATATATTAAATTAAAAACCGGATAAAAGCTTACCACAAAGCTGAAATAATTAATTAACAATAATAAAATAAAGAATTTAGCTTCAGATCTAACTAAAAATATGTTTAAATAGTCTTTCGCAATCCAGGAAGCAATATTAAGCCTCCTAGTATATTCCAATATTCGTTCTTCTTAGCCAATTTTTCCCTGTGGGCCTCTTTTGTCTTGCTTTTGCCATTATTCAGCCACTTGTTCAGCGGCAGAGAGGCAATTAGTTGTTGCTCTTTTTGTGGCAGTCGTCGGTGAGGTGAGGTGAAGTGACTTGCTCATTAGGCAAAACTCGAGCATCCGGCGGAGAAGCAAGTGGCAGCGGCAACAGCCCGTGCCCCAGTGTCATTAGCCAAGGGAGAAGCGAGTGAATATATATAGTAGTTGCTACTTTCACTGCCCCCCATTCCGTTCTAAGGCACATCAGCAGCTGATGTGTAATCACTGGGGTAATGCCTTCGTTTAAGTGCGATTAGTGACCAATCAGCAGCTGTTTACCTGCCGTCTTAGGCTTAAGCAGGAAGCAAGTGAACAAACTAAGTTACCGTTCAGTTGCTGGACGAACAATGCCATTTCCATACCTCAGCGGCAGTCTCAACGAACTGGACTTACTGGACTTACTTCACGAAGATGAGGTGTAACCGTAACCCACTATTAAACCTCATAATTCACGGTCAATTTATAGTTATCTCTTCTAAGTAGCCCAATTTGATGTTGGCCTTGGTAGCGATAAGGCTTCGAGATAGCTGAAAAAACTATGCGAGACATCAAAATGAGCAATGAGAGTGAGAGAGTGCACTTAATTGCGCACTTTGTATTATTCAAATCGCAGGGAGAGGCTCTCCCAGTCTCTGTCCATATATCTATCTATCCATCTGTATCTCAGACCCAGTGAATTTGCATACACAATTAGTGGGTTCTGCTAGTGGGCGTATTGAGGCTGATCGTGTAACAATTTGTGCTCTGCTCTTTCAGTTCACTGTCGCTTCGGCGATGGCCACGGCACCGCGTTCCCTGGACACCATCTCCCTGTGCTCCACCGTCTCCAGTTGCCCTGATCGGAATGGCTTCTACGGCGGTTTCCAGCGCACAGACAAGCCCAAGGAGCCACTGTCCAAGGCACAGATCATAGCCAGGGAAAAGAAATGGCTGTACATGATTGAAAACTGGTCCACTTACATGTCCAAGAACTACAAGAAGGTAAGGACTTGTTTCCTGTAATCATTAATAGAACAGATTAAGATACATTTATTTTACTTTCAGATCCGGGATCGCTGTCGCAAGGGCATACCGAAATCCGTGCGGCCAAAGGCCTGGTTCTATTTATCCGGGGCGTATCTGCTGAAAAAGAAAAACCCCAATGTCTACAGCGAGTTGCTGGAGAAGCCTGGCAATCCGACGACCATAGAGGAGATCAAAAAGGATAAGCATCGCCAGTTTCCCTTCCACGAAATGTTCCTCGACGAACAGAAAGTCGGACAAATCGAACTTTTCAATGTGCTCAAAGCCTACTCGATATACAACCCCAAGGTGGGCTTCTGCCAGGCGCAGGCACCGATAGCTGCCTTTCTATTGATGCACCTGCCCGCAGAGGACGCCTTCTGGGTGTTTGTCAGTGTTTGTGATGTGTAAGTCAAGGTTTCCTCTTAAAAGATAACACAATTTAGTTACTTTGGTTTACTTCCTTGCAGTTACCTACAGGACTACTTTATACCCGGCCTGGAGGTGATCCAGAACGATGCCGGCATCCTGGAGGGCCTTCTGAAGAAGACCTGCCCGCCCGTCTATCGTCACCTGCAGAAGCATAAAGTGGAACCCCTGCTCTATATGACCGATTGGTTCCTCTGCGCAATGACACGAACCCTGCCCTGGGAGACGCTGTTGCGCGTTTGGGACTGCTTTCTGGCCGAGGGCATACGGGTGATCTTCAAGGTGGCCCTGGTAATCATCGGAGCCTCGCTAAGCCGACATAAGGTGCGCAAAACATGCACAGGTCTGTGCGAAACGCTGGAAGTGCTACGATCACCGGAGGAGCACATCGTTGAAGAGGAATTTATCATCAATAACATGATGCGGCTGAACCTGCGCGTCGAGGACTTCCAGATCGAACACACGCGCCAGAAGGCGAGACGGGCCAAGCAGAAGGCGCAACAGGAGGCAGAAGCCGGCGGACATCGACGCAATATGCCAACCCTGTGAGAGGAATGGCAGCTACTACTACTTTAACAAATTGTTACTAAACACACAAACACAACAAAATGCATAGTTGCATAAGATTTTTACGTTTAAAGTCGAATAAGAGGAGGAGGCAGAAGATCGTGCACAAAGCGGAGGCAGGGCAGTGGGGTCGAGTGACCGGAACTGGTTTAGTCAGTTTACGCGGTCAGTCAATTACGGAGACATCATTCCAAGCAATCAGTTTGTCTAATTTTAAGCCAATTCTTTTGTTGAGCACAATCGGGCTGGACTTGTATCTGTATTATTCATTTAGTGGCAATTATTATGAGCGTGCAATTTGTTTATGCTTTTCAAAAGTATTTATTACATATTTATTATTATTATTATTACTATTATGCTAATGTAACATTTCAAGTCCAAATTGAGAGGACCCGGAACATATCGTATTATGATCACCATCATCACCACCCGAAGGCAGCTGACACAGACGGAACTATCGGTGTCCCGTCCGCCGAAATAAGCTCGCCAATTAAAATTAAAGCCAAACGAAAATGCAAAAATTTCCCCTATTTGACCCCGTTACTGGGAAAGTTTATTTCGGCGGACTTATGTTGCTATGACGAGGTCACATAGCTATACTACTTTTTACTCCTTTATCCGTATATCTGCTCGGAGATGAGAATGTTGATATTTACCTTCGATAATGCGTGGCAAACCTGAGAAGTTTGGAGTTTTGAGCGAACTAAATATTAAAATTTATTACTAATAAAACAAAAAATACCTAAAAAATCAATCAAAAATTGTTTTTCTTTGCAATAGAGGAAAACCATATGTAGGCTTTTATCGACTTAAATGTCTTATTTATTAACATTATTTAAACAGATGCTTAACCGATCATAGATGCAGACATATTATATGTTGACTAATTCCTGATTAGTCCAAGGAGTTGTTGGGACATAACTATCTCAAATCCTAGAAATATATGTATATATTTTCGATTTATTATAATTTTCGTAATATCAGTTTCATACAGCTTAGGCCTGGAAATAAATAGCTGAGGACTTACGACTAGTAATGTTAGAGGGTGTGACACTATAACTAGGAATTAGGCTGCTTATGATCTGTAAATTCTACGAAATACTCTTATAATCTCATCAAAACGCAGCCCTTCAGAGAGAATTCTATGGGGTTCTGCCGAGCACTGGAAGTACGGGTGTTGTGGATGCGGAATCGGATGTGGAGATGGCATCGATTCTAGGGATGTATCGCGAGGAGTTCGTTATTATATATTGACAAAATCATAACGAAAATTTTTAAATATTGAAAAGAATCGCATTCAGTGTTCAAATATTATTTATTTGTCACTTTTTTCGATTATATTGGTCGGATATATCAAAACGAATATTGATTTATCTCATATATATCGACGTCAAATGATCATTCCTAGGTAAAAACCGTTTGCTTAATTAAAAAAAAAAAGACCTGATGAATCGCAGCGATAAAACGTAATCTTTGTACAATAACTTAAGTTTCTTTTAAAGAAATAATGGCTTTAGATAAGATATAATAATAATTTCTAAGTACCAAGATTCTGGGTATTCAGATTCCATCCTTCTATTATACAATTAAAATAAATTAAAATGTTGGCTGCTAAACAATTAAAAGCAAAAGTTAAAAAATATTATTTTTTAAAATCAGAACCGAACTAAAAAAAGGAATTTTAAAAAATTTCCGCACTGTTTCAGATTACCGGAACAAAGCCAGAGATAGTTATAATCGTTTCAAGAAAACCCGATAACTATGGACTAGAAAAAGTTATAAGAAAAATATATAAAATATGTTGTAATGCTTCAAAGATTACATTCTTCCCTGCGATTGGTTGCTTCGGAGACGCCCCTAGCCCAGCAAATACTGGTCCTCAAACTCTACGTCGTCTCCATCATCCAATAAATGCGGCGGAAGCGGCATATATGGGCCGGAGTCCTGGCCCATCTGGTTGTCCTCTTCATCTGCGGCCTGGCCCACGGTCACCTCCTGCTCCTTTTCTTCTTGGGCAATCTGTTCGCGAAGCATCTGCATCTCGTTCTCGCCCACCGTTGTGGGATGATGCTTGCGAAGATGCTGCTGCAGCTCACGTAGACTGTGCATCCCGGATCCCACTGTCGCATCCCGCTCACTGTTCTGCTCGCACAGCTGGCAGCGGATGTAGGCCGGCTGTGGGAGATGCTGGAAGCGGTGGTATTGCAGCACCCACTGCCGGTTCGTCTGCAGCTCTTCGTTGCAGTCCTGACAGCGATACAGATCCTCCGCGCCATCCACCTTGTTCATGTGCAGCAGGTCCAGCGCGGTTAAGCCATGAACCACGTTAATGTGATCGCGCCACTGCTTCCGACTGGAGGTGTTGAAGTCATCGCCGCACTGCGGACAAGCCAGGTGGTAAATGGTGTTCAGCTGAGAGTCCTGGCTGGGCTCTTCATCGTCCAACTCGCGTTGCGGACGATTATCACACCGGTTGGTGTCACGATTCAGATGCTTGAAGAACATTTGCTTACGCACAAACGAGGCGTCGCAGGTCAGACACTTGAAGGAGCGATGGGGAAGATGCCGGAACTTGTGCGACTGCAGCTGTCCAATGGCGCCCTTGGTGTGGGTCACCGTGACGCGCTTGTAGCACTCCAGGCACAGGTAGTGATGGTTGTCGATCTGCCGGAAGTTCAGTCCCTCGCGGCTGTTGAAGTTGTGCTGCTCCACGATGTGCTTGCGCCAGAATGCGTGCGAGTCAAAGTTCTGGTTGCACTTCGGACAGAAGTACGTGATGAAGTCCATATCTACGGCATTGTGGTACGAGATGCTGTCCTCCAGGGTATTCAGGCCAGCGGGTCGTGTGGGCAGGTCACCGGGTTGGGGTTTAAGCGTGCGATTGACCACAGGCACGGCAGCAACAACCGCTGCGGAAGAAGTGGAGCAGCCGGGTGGAGATCTTGCTGCCGGAACGGGAGGGGGTACAGGGATCTTCTCTCTATCCCCATCCTTGAAACGACTGTAGACTTTCATTGGCTTGGTAGCCATTAGGGGCGCCTCCTTGTCGAAGATGTTGTGGCGCGCCCTGAGATGTGCTGCAATGTTCGGTTTGTGGTTGTAGCAGGTTCCACAGACCAAGCACTTGAGGTACAGGCGATATGGCAGATGGCGGAAGTGATGGTCCTGCAGACCCTTCAGCTTCGAGTTGCACACAATGTCCTTGCACTGTGTGCACTGGTAGCGGTACTTGTCCAGCTGTCGCATGTTCAGGTAGTTTCGCTTGTCAAAGTTGTGCTCCTCGTTAATATGACGTCGCCACTCGTACTGCGTTTTGTACTCCTTGCCGCAGGACGGGCACAGGAAGATGTAATTCTGTTCCACTGTGGTAAGACCAGAGTCTGCTCCACCGGGATTCGAAAGCGAATGACGATGTCTTCTGCCCACCTGATGAGGCTTCCGGCAATGCTTCTCGCTTATGTGCATCCGCACGGCCACCTGAGTGGGGAAGAGAGTGCTGCAGTGGACGCACTTGTAGCGGTGCTGAGTGTTTTGCGGGGCAGGTCGTGGTGGAGGCGGCACCTGACGCTGTTGCGGTGGCTGAATAACCGGATAATCGTCCTCGTCAGCAAGCATCTGTTCCCCAAAGTCATTCTCCTCATCCAAGCTGGTCTGCTCCACATCGTCCAGGTAGATTATCTCGTAGGTCTCATTGGCCACGGTGACGATCTGCTTGCGGGGCTGCTTTGGAGTAGTTACCATGGGTGACGGTGGTGCTGCACCTCCACCAGACTTCCGAGAATCACAGCCGATGCGGTGATAGGTGGCAAGATGCTTGACGAGACCCTTTCGGTCCGTATAGGACTTGTGGCACTTGCGGCATCTGGCATATGCCTTGAATGGCAGATGGGTAATCCTGTGCTGCTGGGCATTCTGTATGCCATAGGCATTTGTGATGATCTTATCGCATTCGGTGCACTTTAGCTGCCGTTCGTTGATCATCTCAAAGTTCAGCTTGGACAAATCGTTCATGCTGTGCGCCATGACCACATGGGTGCGCCAGTGCTTCTTCTCGATGAACTCCTTGCCGCACTGCGGGCAGAGGTAGTCGATGTGCGGTTCGTAAATGTCATCGCTGCTTATTCGACCGCCGCGACGGGGGGCATCTTCAAAGTAGGGTGAATCCTCGTCCAATGCCGCGCCGTTTCCCTCGCCATTGCCGTTGTCTTCACATTCATTCCCCCCATCGATGGCCAGAGACGCATCCCCCTCTTCCTGGCCAGGGTCCTCTGACATTAGGGTCTCCAGATGATGATGCTTTAGCAAATGCCTAACCAATTCCGGATGATCCGTGTAGCCCTTGTAGCAGAGCTTGCAGCGCAGCCACTCGGGATGCGACAAGTGACTGAATTTGTGGGCACGAAGCGACTTGATGGTGTTGGGTGTTATAATCTGAAAAGAACAGGACATGTTGTGGAAAATCTAGGTTCTTAAATTGCCATAAAGACCCACCTTCTTGCATTCGAGGCACTGCATCTGCATGTCGACACTCCGAAAGTTGAGGCCACGCCTGCTGACATAGTCGTGGACAAATTCAATGTGCTGACTCCACTGGGCGTGGGTATCGCACTCAGTGCCGCAGTCAGGGCACATGTAGTGGATGTAGTCCTCGCACAGCTCAGCGGCTTCTCCGCCACTGCCGCCGGGTCGCTTCTTTTGGGGCGTCTCCTCCACCACCTGCGTCGGATGTTGACCCATGCCGCCGGACTCATCAACATCCGGTTCGAGCAGCTCGTTTCGCACCTCGATGTGATCTAGGTCCTCATCCTCGAGAAAACTCTTCTCCCGCTTCATTTGCTCTGTACGTGACTCTCGGACACGGGTTTTCCGTCCGGCAGCATTGTAACCTTCCCGCATCATGGCCACCACTTCGTCGCAGTGTACCATGCGGAGGTGCACCATTAGATCTTGCCTATAGAGGAATGCATGCACATTAAGACTTTGGAGGGATAAGATCTTAAATATGTCTTTACCTGTATTTGTACTCCCGCTTGCAGATGTAGCACTTGGTGCACCGAAACGGCAGGTGTGTGAACTTGTGCTTTAGCAGGTTCTCCCGGCTGTGCATAGCGATTCGTTTGTGGCATTCCTTGCAGCGCTGATAGAGCTTGTCCAGCGGCGCAAAGTTAAGGCCCCGAAGGGTGTTGTACCTATGGATTTGATTCATGTGCCGCTTCCAGTGATCCTGCTGCCGGAACTCTCCGCCACAGGCTGGGCAGATGTACACTACGCCCAGCTCGTAGTTGATGGGCACGCCGTTCTCATCGGTGGCATTGATCTGGGAAGTGGTGGGACGCACGGGAAATCCAATGGGTCGCATATCGGATCGCGGCCGACTTAGGGCTGGCAGTGATTGCCGTTGCAGGGCTGGGCGAACTCGGGCACCCATCGGACCGGCGGGCGCCAAAACCGAAGCCGGCGACGACTCACCAATACTCACAATTGGCTCCAGCTCGAAATCGAAGAGCGCATCGTCGTCCGGTTCCGGTCCCTTCGACGCCTTTTTAGTGCCACCTTCGTCGTCCTCTTCCCTCTCCTCATCCTCGCCATCTAGCAGGTCGTCTACACCATCTCCAGCCTCCAGGATGGCCGTATCGTCGATAAAGTCGCCATTACCGTTGCCGTACTGCGCCCCATCCTCTCCACCCGCCAGCTGCTCTCCCTCGCCGCCCCCTTCCGGCTCTCCGTCCTCGAACTCCGAGGAGAACATCGACGTCCACAGGTCCATGCCTTCCATTTCTGGGAACAGGCTAGCTGGATGGCTTTGTGTGGCAGCTTGCGCCGCTCTAGCTTGCGTGCGTGTGCGTTTGTGTGAGTGGTCTCGTCTGTGAGAACTAGTTTTCGTATCCTACGCCACAGTTGGACAAGTCTGCGGCTGCAGCTTTTTCACTTTGGCGGAGCTCTTTTGGGCTTTTCCGGAGCGCAGCTTATCCATCGTCACCGTCACCGCACCGATTGCACTTATCTCTCCACCACTAAGGCATCTGGGATATCGCAAAAAGTCCAAAAATTGCAAAAAATTAACTTTCTTAGTCTGCAAAAACCATTTTGTTTGCGGCGTTATCGATAGTGGTGGTAAAAACACCACCGATAGTATTGATATTAAAAACATCGCAAATACGATAGTGGAAAACATCGACATTTTCAAGCTCTAACTTAAACCGAAAACTAGCTGTTATGAAATAAAAAATAAACAACCCTTAAAAAGTTTATAAAAACATCTAACAACTCTTATTACATTAGTATACTTATTATTAAAAATAAACAGTCTATCATATTTATACCTTGCAGGACTCTCAGTTCTGAAGCTATCTGAATAAATCTTTGCAGTTAGTCTTCTTAATACTTTCTATAAATGCACGTCGGAACGGGATCGGATCGGATCGGACAACTATATCATATAGCTGCCACAGGAACAATCAGGAAATTTTTAGAAAAAAATTTATAATTTTTGCAGCTTTCAACAGATTTTCATAAAATTTTACATATAGCCATTCTGTATTATTCTAGAATTTCGTTTTTAATTTTAAGAAAATCGGAAGACTATATCATATAGCTGCCATTGGAAAAAACGTGAAATTAATACAATGAAAAAACTGTAAGAGATATCAAAAAGGATAGGTTTCTGCAATAGGAGTAGGAACTTTTCCTTGTTTCTAACAGAAATATATATAATTTATAGTTTTTTTTTATTCATGATCGAGCGAAGGTATACGAACTTCGGGGTGCCGAGGTTAGCTTTCTGTCCTGTTCTTTTGTTAATACATATATTAATAAAATTAGTAACATATTTTTCGCCATCCCTATTACGATAGATTAGAGAAAAACATCGAACACACTATCGCATCGAAATCACTGCGGCGTTGCCAGAATGTTTGGTAGATTATCGATACTTCGATAGATTATTGGCGGTGAAAATTGATTATGGAAAAAAATTTGAATTAGATGTAGATTCTGACAATTTCTTTTAAATTTAGCTAATCTTTTTTGTTTCTGTTTTTTATTAACGGATAACATTTAGATTGAGCTTGGTACTGGACTGGATCTGCCTCTAAATTCGTATAAAAGCAATCTTCCCAAAGAGCCTACATTAATTAAAACTAGATGCTTAATTTCCCAGTAATCCCCAACTAGCTCAAAAAAAGTAAAAACAAAACTATGTACGAAAGGATTTTTATTGAACAAAGATTCGCGTTTGAATTTTGTATTTTTACACCTTATTAGTACGTGCACATTAGTACGTACATGCGTACTGTTTAAATTACATATTTAATGTAATGGTAATACAATGTATATTATGTATGTATGTAGTTTATGTATGTGAGTGGTCGTGTGAATGCGATTGATATAAATATATAGATGTAGCGTGTGGTTAATGCAATTAGCATTAAAATATCGAAAGGTGTGGAAAGTCCCATTGCGCCTTTAATCTGCTCTTATCTCCACAACCACTAATACCCTTGGGCTGTATGGGTTGGGAGGCAGGGGACCAGGGATTTCATAAACAAAAGAATTTAAAATGTATGTCTTCGAAGGGAGGCTTGTCTCTGGTGGTAGTGATTGGTGTAGTGGTAGGTATAGTGCGAATGTCGCTTAAATGTGTTCGATTAACTCTCGTTTTGGGTTTGCAGCATCATCGTCGTCGTCGTCGTCGGTGATCTCCATCTCGTTGAGCAATGAGTTCCCTCGTGTACGCCTTAATATTCGTTGGCAAATCCTGCTGGCCTGCCGCTGCTCCGATCGCATGTGCTGCTCCTTGTTGTGTGTACGTAGGGTAAGGGTAAGGGTTATGCGTATATGGGGGTAGTACGATTTAATTTTTTTGTGTCTGTTTTTTTTCTTGGGTTTTCTTGCGGTTTCTCCTCATCCCGCCATTGCGCCACTAATTGTGCTGGGGATCCAGATCAATTCCCGTCGCCATTACCATAGTCCCGACGAGTAGCCGCCTGGTGGCACGCGATTCTTGTTAATCATCGGAGTGCCACCATGGGAGGTGTCCTGGCGGTGCTGATAATCGGTGCCTCCGGCCTTGTAGCCCTCACCGGTGACGGGGTTGCCCTCTGCAGATGAGAAGAGAGATTTATTAACATAAATCTAAAACTGAAGTCATTAACTAGGGCTTAGAAAACTAATAACTAATCTAGATTAAGCTAGAACGCGAAATTGGTTGCAACTAAATATATAAAGAAATGAAATGGGATCGTGAGGTTACTTTGCGGAAATCGGGAAAGGAAAGCGTGTAGATAGGTGGACAATCAACCATAAACCCATCGCCCACCTCGTATCTTGAGCTTCTTTGGCTTCAGTCCACCTACACCATCGCCGTTGAGGCCTAGGCCCGTGATCGGGTTGCGCGAATCATTACGGCAAGCTTGCACCGGATCCTCTACATTATCCGGACAGGGATTCAAGGGCTCCAGGAGATTTGGTGCTCCCTCCATCTTGTCGAGCGAATTGGGCCTTTCGGGATTGTTCCCAGAGTCTTTGCGCGTTTGAATGGCCTCGTCGCGTTGATCAGACTCGGTATATTTGTAGTTATCAGCCGGAACGTCGCCCACTTCCTTATCCACACACAACTGATCGATGGCTAGTCCTTCGGCCTGGCTGGCGACAGCGCTGATGGGGGCAGTCTCGTTCTCAACAGTCAGGGGGGCAGGCTCCTCGCGTTCAACTGGAGCAGATTCTTTAGGCTCTGGAGCTGGAGCTGTTGCTGCTAAGCGGAAGGTGGGAGCGGGAGCAGGCGGATTGGGAGGGATGAGGGTGAGTCCCATCGATGGACACTACCAATACTCACTGCTCATATTGCGGTAGACTTGACCCGGAACGAGATACGACACAACACGGACACGAAGGGCGAAGAAAACGGAAGACGGTTGCAAGATTTGCGAGTTTTGTTTTTAGTGCGTGTGCGCAAGTGGTAGAAATATATTACAATATATATTTATTTAAAAATTTAACACAACGTGAATCACAATTTCGTTTCGATATTTCTTTTCAAAAATTTTGGTTTTATGCGCAATAATTGTAATATCGATGTTACTAGTTGCCGCTCTGAGATCGTACTGAATCTGTTCCCAGCTCACTGCTGACAGTTCCACATTCGGTTCGATTTCAATATCCAGCGACTACTATATATTATATACATATGCTCTCACCTGATCTGCTCATCTTGAGATTCTCGGTCGAGGACGACACCGAAGATGAGGCCGAAGACACGGATCCGCTCTTGCCATTGTAGTGGCCATTGGTGGCGGTGGTCAGCAGCTTTTGGGCGGCAGCTGCCTCTGTGTTCTGCCCGAAGGGAATGCTGCTCTTCATGTGGTTCTTGCCAGGGGTGATGGGGCGCGAGGGTTCACCAAACAGCCGAGAGTGCGAGTCGACGGTCTTCTGGCCGCGACGCGGTGCATCACCTGATTATCCGGATCGTCATCGTTGTTGGATTACAATTCCAGGGGGAAAGGCAAAACAAATTGGGGGAAACCAAAGAAAATAAAACAATCAAATTAGTGGATTTGTGTCGGAGAGTAGAATGTTTAAATTAGTTTCTTAATTGTGTTTTACAAAGAGGTACAAGACTAGGAAGGTGGATGGGTTAGTGTACATAGAGAACTTAATCATATATTGCTATCAAATCATTAAAAATTATACGATGCTTCCCTATATATCTGTTTTAGAAATAAACATATAATTTCAAATTGATTGGAATTAATATATGAATTATTTACATGAAGTCTTAGCTATAAATGAGTAGCGAGAGGTAAGTCCTCATTGGTCTATTTACAAATATATCAACGTCTTATCGAAAATATGGTAATGTATTATCGGAAAAATAAGTCAAGTCTATTTAATGTATTCTTATTTAATATCTGTATCCCTGAGTTTAACTTGAGAACTTAGAAAGCATTATTTTTACGCTTAATGGGGAAACCTCTTCTGCATGTAAAGTACTTGTTACTCTTAAAAAAAAATTTACCAAATTAAAACCTTTACAATTTCCTAACTATTCTTTTGTTTTTCTTCATTTGTGCGATGAATGGCAAAGGTTAACCAAATTCAAAGAGAAAAGCCTTGAGTTCTTTTGGCTTTTATCTGTGTGAACCCAAAATGTCATCGGCAGCAGGTGGAATAAAGGAAGCAAACCGGTTGCAATGGCAACTTCTTGAATGTGGAGTGGGGGACAGTAATACTCTTTGTGGGAAGTGGGTGAGATGGGGAGTGAGTTTAGAAGGAGTGGGGATTAGTCGAGGAGTATTCTGTGCCTAGTGCAAACTGAGGATTTGAAATTAGCACAAAACAACAGCAACAACTGACACACAACAACGAAAGTAAAGTGAACACAATTTTGGGGTTAACACTGTGTAAAGAGGACTCTGTGTGCAGTTTTGTTTCGACATGAATATATATGGGGGATAGAGGAGGAGACATAGTTCAAGTACCAATGAAATAGAATCTGTGAGCTCCTTGTCGTACTGCAAAGATACGTAGAAAAAGAAAAGAAATATAGAGCGGGGGTAGGCGGAGGAATTCAAAATAAAAGTAGAACGAGAACGAGAACAAGAACGGGAAGAAAACGATAGACATTTAATAAGCATTTAAAAATCCAACAGAATCCATCATCTAAGGACGTCGTCTTAAGCACACTTTTCCAATCAAAATTAAAAGCAAATCAAGATCTTTTTCTTTTCAAGGAAATATCACACAGCTTTATAATATATAATATTTGAGGTATATGGGGGGGTCAGGACCTTCAAACTTACCGTTATTTTTCACTCCATTATCTTTCTCGGCAGCAAAAATGTTGGATACCATGCGATTCTTCACATTCCTGGGGGTCTGCGGCATCTCCGATCCAAAGATGTCGCTCGATCCGCCGCCCGGAGGCCTCAGCACCCTGCAACAAAAAGAAAGGAGAGGAGAACTCATTAATTACAGGCTCATTCTTCCACGCTCCGTAATTGATATGGCACAGTGCATAATTCAAAAATTTCCACACGCTTTGCCAGGATCGAGGAAAACTTAAGCTCAGCGCATTTAATGTCTGTGTCTAATCATCACCACAACACCGTGGACTCATCGAGTTTAAGTCGGAGCTGGCTGGGTGAGCACTCAATGGGCATTAGAAGTCACGCCAAGATGCATCTCCCAGCGTTCCATCCAACGTCCCATCTCTTCCCCAGCTGCATCGCAATTAAGTGGAAACCCTGGCATAAAGAATTGCATCCGAGACAAAGCCTGGCCAAAAATGTTATGCTTTGTGGCATTCGCTAGCCACTCAGTCAAGGCAGTCAGTCAGACAGACAGTCCGTCGACGTCCACGCAACGTTGCCCAAAACCACAGGCTACTACAGTGACGATCGGTACTGTAAGGTGCCAGATCCCAGCGGGTACTTGACTTGGTAATGATTTTTTATTCAAATTGATCCAGGTAAGGCAACACGATTAAATGAAAATATAAATACATAATACATAATAATGTAGAAAACAATAAGGAAAAAGTTTAGTCTTGCAGATATGTGTACTTACTACCTCCTAGATTATTTAAGTTCATTATATACATTTTTAAACTACATTTTCCTATTTCATTTTTATAGTTTTCCTTGTCAAATTTAGATATTAAATTTATCTCTTCCCTGAAGCCCCAAAAACATTTGATAATTTAATTCAGTTAAGACTTGCAGATGTCTGGCAATTGTGAGCCGCACTGTCAGCCGTCGAAGACGACGTCTAACCGAGGGTAGCCGAGAGTAACCAAGTATCCAAGTATCCATGTATCCAAGTAACCAAGTATCTGAGGTTTCTGTGAATGCATTTTACTGCCGCCAGCATGAGACGTCAATTAAACTCTGCAACAGTTAGCTGAACTGTGGATGCTACCAACTTATGCAGCTCCATCTCCGAGTGAGTCCAACCTCAGCTCCATCTCCAACCTCAACTCCATCTCCAGCTCCATCTCCATCCTGGTGATTCGTTGCATTTGCCCCCAGGCTCTGAAAGCCAAAGACCATTCACTTGTCAACATTTGCTTTTGGCCGCTTTGCTAGTTTACTACTGCAAGACGTCTTCCTTGGGGCGTCAATCAAATCAGCGGGCTTTCAGTGTGTTAAAAGATTGCGTTTTTCTTTCTGCTTATTTTTTTCTTTTTTTAAGCACCATCTGCAGTGTGGCACGCACTGCCGGAAAGTGAGAGTCGTCGCCGCGCATTTCCCGCTGCTTTTGTTACACTTTTGTGGTAATTAACGAAAATTGCATTGCAATTACTGTCGATTAACGCCGCGGCTGCTTAAACAAAGCCAATGTGGCGCCGCAAATAGCATAAATAAATAGTAGAGACCCAGTTAGGCGCTCGTTTTGGGTATTAAAACTTTCTACGCGTAGAATCCGAAACCGAGGAGTGCAGCGGAAAGGGTCCGAGAAAGAGGCTAAGGTGCGTCGTCTCTGCCTTCCTGCTAGAAAGTGCAACCCAATTTGCGTACTTCGGCGGAAGAGGAAGAGCCCGCTGCTGTGGCTGCGCCTAATTAATTATACTACACTGTAGTATGCCCCCTGCCCCATGCCCCTTCGGGCTTTTCTTGGCCCCCCTCTCCCCAACCGAAAAACATGACAAAGCGTCAAAGCGCAGGCCGCAAAGGCAAAAGCACCGTTAAGCGGCCAGCCGCAAGTGTGTGAACTGCTCAAAGCGGTGGCAAGACGGGGGGCAGAGGTGGGATTAAGTGTCACACTCAGAGAAAAACAAGGTATTGAAATTGCTCTGAAGAGCTGGAGGTGAAGGTGTGTTCTTAGTAACTTTAAGCTATGTTCAAGAGAAAGTAGAAGAAACCTTCAAGGCATTTGTTGATTTTAATTCATTGTAAAGATTTTCATTTATAAGCATATTACTTCATGTGTACTTTAATTATACTTTGGCTGAAAACAGTTTCAAAACAGTAACTGCAATTATTTTATTTTTAACCTTGCAAGGTATTATAATTTTAGTCAGAAGCTCAAAAAGAAGTGAAAGAGTTATTTCCGACCATATAAATCATATATATTATTGATCAGCATCAACTGCCGGATCGATCTAGCTATCTCCGGCAGAAATTAATTTTTTTCAAAAATTTTATAAGGGGTTACATCGTTAAAATTGTCAAAAGTTGATAAAAAATTTCAATTTTTTAACATTTTAAATGGAGTATGCAGATTTATTACTGTAATAAAAAGCAACATAGGACTGCTTTCCGAATTAAAATTAATGCTTTTTTGGCTCAGTTATGAGTTATTTAAGTTCTGATTTAAAGACATATTGTCATAGAAAATAGTTGACAAATATCGAATCAAGAAATGTTATAAGACCTTTGGTCAGAAGCTTCTAATTCACGAAAGAGTCATTTCCGACCATATAAATCATATATATTCTTGATCAGCATCAACAGCCGGATCGATCTAGCTATGTCAGAAAAAATATAAATTTTTCAAAAATTTCACATTTTTATAAGGGGTTACATCGTTAAAAATGTCAAAATTATACCAAAATTTTAGTTTTCTTAAATTTTAAATTGAGTAACCAAATTTTTTACTTTAATAAAAACTAACATAGGACTGCTTTCCGAATTAAATTTAATGCTTTTTTGGCAGAGTTATGAGTTTTTAAAACATTGAATTGACAAAAAAAAATTTAATATAAAATTATCAATAAATATTGATGATATTGATATTGATTTTTCAGATAAACACAAAATTGTAATTGAAAACAAGACTCCTCAGATCATAATAAACCCTTTCTCACCCTTTGACTGAAAAAAAGAAATGTGATTCGCTTGATTAGATTGCCAAATGATTTTCTGCCCTAATTAATTTTTCTATATATTTTAGAGAAATCTGGTATTGTAATTAGCTTGACAAGATATATGATGTATCTATAATTAATAAACAATTTTGCAGTGTAGCATTGTCGCGTGGGGAAATCACTGGAATGAAATATCTGGCACTCGCACAGTTCGGGTTGGATTGGTGTGTGTGTGGGGTAATTGCGATCATAACTGTCGCACACTCCATAGGAGTGTGACTCCAACTGCGACTCCAACTGGAAGGAGGAGGCCTGTGTGTGTGTGTGTGCAAAGTGTTCTTATTAAAATGTCTTCAGGCTTGTTAGCACAGGCAGCGAAGCGTAAAACTCTTCTTTTTTGTTGAACTCTTTCCTTTTTGACAAAAGACTTGTTTCTCCCGCTTTTCTTTCTCTATTTTTATTTGGTTTTTTTTAGTAGGATTTCTTCTTCTTTTTTTGGACCGACACAGGGTTGTGAGGAAAAACTAACAAAGCAACGGTAAATGGGCAATTTTTGCGCAAGTGACGAACAAGTAATAATTATTTAAACAGTTAAGCCGCCGCCATCCAAGCCAAGCCAAGCCAAGTGGCCTCTCATTCATTCACTCACTCATTCATTCATTCATTCATTGCCTGTGAACCTACCTATGTTACCTACCTACCCACCGAATGCGGCCCGATCAAATGGAAAGCGAAAGTTGCGTTTCAGTTTGACTCTAACCCGGGCCATGCCACATGTGGCATGCTCACAATATCATGCATTATTGGCAATGCGGTGGAAAAAATATGCTGGCCATCTTAATGGTTAGCCAGTTAACCGGGCCTACAACTAATTACCATCCATCTGCCAAGCAAGCTAGCTCAGGTCAGACCCTGGCCTCTGCCAAATTCGGAGGCTTTGCTCTTTTAATGGCCTCTGGAAGGGGTTATATGTACATATATGTTAAATGCTTCTATCGCCCATAATAACCAACCATTGTGTGTACCCCGGAAAGTGTCGCAGTTTATTTCTTTCTTTTTTTTGGCATGGCTTCCGTTTGAGCTGGTTTTAGCTGCTTATACACTTACTTTCCACATACGCACGCAGTCGCAGTTGTGACTCGATGTGGCTTCCCCGGAATCCCAGTGGCAGCCACTATCCCTTGGGTTAAGTTGCATTTAACCCATTTATGGGGTCTGAATGCTTGGTTATTTTAACTCCTAATATGTATTGATTATTGGTTAAATTCTGTGTTCAGTGGAAACATTTTTGCTTATTTAAATACAAGGTAAAGAGTCTACAATTGTGGCTGTGCCAGCTGGGAACCCAATTGCTTTGACTCAATTTGAAATATGAGCCAAATCGAATGGCCCAATCCCCAGGAAACAGCAACCTTTCACACACCAGGCGCCTGCGGGTCCAGATCTGACTGCGGACAGCGACAGAGACCTGACCACCATCGGCACCACCAGGTGGAGTTGGGAGTGCGCAGGTGGCTCCCAATTGAAGGAGTCCGGCTACGAGCTCGATAGTCTGAGAGCCTGAGAGCCTGAGAGCCTTCTCCCTGTCCTGGGTGATGACAAAAATTAATGTATATCGACAGAGCAACTAGGCACTGGCCAGGGGCAACTGGAGAGCAACAGCAGCAGCAGAAGAGGCTGCTTCAAGCGAAAGGTAATGTGGCATGGCATGGCATGGTGCAGCGGCAACAAAATTTGAAAACAACCTTTTCGGGTAAAAGTTGTTCGGGTTGTGCATATAGAAAATACTTGGCTCAAAGTGATAGTTGTCGCTCTGATTTAGTTTGGCTTTAGTTTTTTCTCCTTTCATCTTCGACTTGACTTGGCTCTAGGGTATTTTTTTTCCCCCATTTTCTCCGTTCCTTTAACCGCTGCGATAATTGTTTTATGTTTGCACACTCACTCACAGGGGCTTTTCCAGATTTCCCTTTTACCCACAGCCGCCAATTAATTACAACACCAAGGGGGCGTGTCGCCGACCAAAGTCCAAGCCAAATCATCGTCGATATGCCTCTCTCGATTTTAAATTATGAAATAAAATGTTACTTTCTATATGGCGCTTGACCTGATAAAAGCTATACGCTATATTT